GGGAGAAGAAAATGTAAGAACCAAGGGCTCTGGCTAAAGGCGACCATGGCTCCCTTCGCCCTGCCCGGGGGCTTTGTTTCCAGTTACGTACATTTGAACTTCCAATCTCGTATTAATTATAATCTTCCTTCATCCTTAAATGAAACTATATAACCTCTTAACCCTAGTTGTAAACTATGAACACTAGGCACTCTGAATATCAACCCTTATGTGCAGGCAAACGAGTTTATGTTTTCATTTGATATCTAAAAATTTACTCCCTCTGTCCCGAAATGATTATTCAGTTTGTATTTTTATTTTTACTTCGAATTGTACTAAAAACGAAAACTTAAACTGACAATAATTTTAGGACAATGGAGTACAACGCATTTAGGTTTAATATTGATTTTTTTTTCTTCGCTACAATAAAATGGAATTTTTTCCTTAAATATATTTCCTTATATATACCAGGACAAAAATAAACCTTCCAAAAATTTTGTGGACAAACTTATATGTCCCGGATTTAGAAAATCCGAATTGGAGGGGGGGGAGGGAAACTCAGATTTCCGAAATCCGAACCCCTCTAAACTCAAATTAGAGAAATCCGACTTGTGTTACGTAAATCCGATATTAAGTTAATGACAGAAATTAGTGTAATTAATCTAAATCTGGATTTTCCAAATCCGTATTTATGAATAAAATATTAATTTCCAGATAGAAAAAAATATGTGTTGAAAAATTAAATTTGGAAAAATCCGGATCACGGTAATCTGAATGAATGTAGATTCGGATTACCGTAATCCGAATCTCCTCTGTTTGCTGCAAAATGCTAACTCTCAGTTGGCTACATACTCGGATTTACGAAATCCGAATCCTTTACAAAAATTCTGGGTTCGGATTTCGTAAATCCAAGTTTATGTCAGAACTGAAAAAAAAATTGGACTGATTTTAACCAGTCCAAAACCTGTTTACAGCACCAACAACAATAAAAAATTGGAAAATAGAAATTTAATGGCAACAAAACCATAAACGGCATTCGATTAACAACAAAACAAATCAAGTTTCATACCAAAATCAATACAAAAACTACTTTAAATGTGTAAAATACATCAAATGTCTCATTTTTTTCCCTTTTCCTTTATTGTGCGCATCCGGAGTGTATTTGTTTGGGCCCTGCCGGATCCTGTCTCCCCTCTTAAGACACGTGAGTATTGAACTCTGTTGTGCTTTGCTTCTGATTGAGATTTGAAACAAACACCAATGTCCATTCCTCTGGGCGTCTCATCCCACAGCTTAAGAGCAAACTCATCCTTGTCCACACATGAGGCATCACATTTCTCCATCTACTATATACATGGCGCCGGGGCAATAGATTACAATCCCTTTCCTCATTTTCTAACCTTTCATCATCACTTTCTTCAAAATCACTCTCTCCGGAGACATCACAGTCTTCTTCGCTTTCACTTGGAGCTATGTAGTCGGGATCCGACTCTTCCCGGTAGTCATCTTGTGCAAATAAAGGTGTCTCCTCTTCATCACGGTTTCGAGAAGTACTAGTACGTTCCCCCCTTGGAAAACCACCAAATGACACGTTTTCCAAACTCGCTTCTCTTTTTTCGTGAGTGATATCTTCCAAATCTATGTATAAATCCAAACATGACATTGGATTTACACGGTTCATGAACTCTACATGCGAATCATTCTTGATCTTCACTACACGCCTACCACCGGGTCTATCGAAAATCAAAGAAAGGTGGAGTTTCACGCGTGCTGGATCCCAACCAAGTGTCATACAAATCTTACTAATCAATCCCTCATATGACAACCTTTCCTCAACAAATAAACCATCATCCGGCATATTTGAAAAAGTGTTGATACTACCATTCTCTATCACATACTTGCTTGTATGAAACAAATTAAGCATGTATGATACATTACGTGCCATTGATAACTGTTTTAAAAGAAATCAATATCTAATCATTTCTTAATAACAAAATCAACAAATACACCATACATACTCCATCCATAATTCAAAAAACCTATAAAATACTAAAATACCTATAAATCAACTTCCATATCTCATGAATAACTATGATTTCTCATCTCTAACCTCAAAATCAACACCTAAAACATCCAAACAACCAACCAACATAAACCCTAATCTATCATACATCATTCTAACAATTAAATAACACAAAACTAAACTAAATAACATGGTTTTGCAATCTAACCTCTTTCAAATAACGATTCCCACGTATCTAGAGGCAAGAATGCATCAAAAGCTCCAATTCGCCCTTATTTGAGCTGCAAAAACAGAAAATCCAACTCAGTTCTCGAATGAGAACTGTCTTAATTTTTTTTTATAGCACGTTAAACTCGGATTTTCGAAATCTGAGTCCGTAAGTAACTCGGATTTTTGAAATTCGAATTACGGTGGCCTTGGATTTACTGAATCCGAGTTTGGTCAATTCTGGATTTTTTTATTCATTTTTTGGTCCTCCAATTTATGGCACATGCCTACTTCCACCAACGAAAATTAAAAAGAGTCGGATTTCCAAAATCCGAATACGGAAAACCGGCTTACGGACTTCCGGTTTTTGGATTCAAAAATTTCGCACCTCAATTTATTATTTTTTAATTAAATTCAGATTCTGCAAATCCGAACGGAACTGTTCATTTAAGAATTTTTAAAAACTATTATTCAACAAAATTTACTTAATTATTATTTTATTATTAAATATAGGCTCGGATTTCCGAAATCCGAATCTTTAATTTTAATCAGAACTCGGATTTCGGAAATCCGAGGTATATATTTCTGTCCACTAATATTCTGAAAAATTTAAATTTGTCCACGTTTATTTTAATTAATTTTTTTTGGAAAAAAGCCCCAATAAAATGTACTCTTTCTATCTTAAAATAATTATTAAATATATTATTTTTAATATAAATTGTACCGTGAATAAAAATTAAAATTAAATAATTATTTTGAAACGAAAAAAGTATAAAAAAAATGTCGATGAGAGACACAATAATTTGTAGACTATAATATGTCATTCTAATTCCGTGAGTGCATTTTGGAGTGGAGATAGAATTTGACTTGTCCATTGTGCTAATTTCGTCTCTGATCTTATCCTCTGCTTAGTCAAATCCAGGGGTTTATTAATATTGCTAGTCAAAAGTTTCATAGACGCACGAGGAACTCTAATTTCACGACGACATATATTTTAACAATTACTCCCTTCATTTCAATTTGTAAATTTTTTAAGTTTGAAAAGATTTTTCAAAATGTAGATTGTTTTATAAATTCTAGACAAATTAATGAATATTTTTACAACTTTAACTTCAATAAATGATGCCAATCTGTTTTCATTATATGTTACTACTTAATTAATTATTAAATAATTATCTTATTAGTTCACGTGCAAAATCTAAAATGACCTACATTTTGAAATGAAGGGAGTAGTAGTACTGCTAGAATGTCTGTGCCGAAATTGAAACATAGGTCATACATATTACTCCCTCCGTCCCATAATTATTGTCCAGTTTTATTAAAATGAAAGATTTTATTTTTGGTCAAACTTAACTATATTTTACTTTAAATAACCGGATATACCCCTACATAAGTAATTGTTTAACCACTAAAATTTTATGGATAGTGTTTTTTACTAAGGACAAATGTGTAACTTGATCCATAAAAAGTCAAATTGGACAATAATTTTGGGACAAAATTTTTTGGGTAAAGTGGACAATAATTATGGGACAGAGGGAGTATATGTTAAATCAGTGAAATTAATACAGTACTTATATTATTTGGACCAAATCCTTTTTAGTTGGAGGCCATTTTAATAACATGCACGATATGGTTTACTCAGTGAAGAAAAAAGTTTACCCCGAAAGATCATAAAAAAATTCAGCAACTAAAAACTGAAAGGCGAATCGAAAGAAGGCATTGTATAACATCTTTAATTTTTTTTGTCACGTTTTACATCTACATTTATTGTTTAGTTATACGATAAAATTAAATTATTATGGACAAATTATAGATGGCCGACTCAAAAAAAAATAAAAAAAATCGGGAGATTCGAACCCTGACTGACGCAAGCGTTTCGTCACGGGTGCTTCCCCAAAATCAAAAATACTTTTTTCTGTAATAAAGTTTAAAAAGTTTGTGTGATATTCGGTTGTAGAAGGTTCAATATATGCAACTTTTTAATGGATTCTGAACAATGCAAATTCGAGACGGAATTAATGCAGATTTCCAAAGTGTATGGATCTCTAGCTATCTCTAGCAAATTTGGTCACAAATTAATTAAAGCCATATTTGAACCTTTTTTTTTTTTTTTAGTGCCCTGAAGTTTCTTGTGAACACAATATATATTGTACTACTGTTCCAAGGGATAATTCAACCCAAAAAGTTGGATAAGAAAAGACCTAAAAATGGGCGAATTAGCTGGCCATTTATGAAAAAAAAAAAAGAAAAAAGAAAAAAAGCCACCAATTAGGAGGCCATTTTATCTCAATTCATATCTAACCAACATTATGTAGGCGTAATGATATTAAAAAATAGGCAGTTTGTCGGCTAACGATATTATCCAACAATCTTAAATCAAAGATTAACGTTAATATAATCGTAGACTAATTGCACCAAATTAAGGTCAAGAGTTTCTTTGATATTGGATCATCAAAATTATGTTCATACTAAAAAAAAAAAAAGGAGTTTATACTACTACACAATTTCAGCACAATGAAAAAGAGACGTTAGTTGACTGCATAGCCGTCAAGGAAAGAATTTAAAGAATTTGGATCCAATATTAATAAATTTTTTAAAGGAAAAATGAAGGAATAAAATAGTCAAAACTCATACAAAGTACACGTGGACCACAGGCATATGAACCCACAATACAACCCAACCTTACGTAATATTGCCCCATTATATATATATATCCCCAACCTCGTGGGCTAGCTAGATTAATTCATAAGAATTTTAATTTATTTAAAAAATAAATATATATTTAAGAAAACTTTATTACACTAATATCTTAAATAGTGACGTCCCTCCTCTATATAAACCATCCTTTGCTTGAAGGACTTTAGTTTCATCATTACACAACACTTTCTTCACTTTATTCCTCCTTCGTCTTAGTTAAGGTTGTTGAGGGGGATTTTCAAGAAGATTAAGGAAGAGTGAGAAAAAAAAACCAAAACTAGTTTCACCTTTCTCTTTTGAAAGAACAAATAATTAACATCAATCATGGTGGCCGGAGCGATGTCCGTCGCCGGCGGGGAGAAGGTCTTTGAGGCCAAGATCACTCCCATGGTTGTCATTTCTTGCATTATGGCCGCCACCGGCGGTCTCATGTTCGGTTATGATGTCGGAATCTCAGGTTTGTACTCTATATACATATATAGCTTCATTTCTTCGTAAAAATTACGTTTGGAATTCATATTCTTTTATAACACAATCTTTTCTTCCAATATGATTTCGAAAAATAGTTCATTTCGTTTCTGTTTTTCTTCTTCCCTTTTGATTAACCATCTTGCGTTGTGATTGGTTATTGGTAACAAGCTTTTATATTCTACTGTGTAGATAAGTAGAACGTTAATTTTTATTTATTTTTTTTTCAAAAAGTTTAACCCAAAAAAAAAAAAAATTTTCATGTAAAAAATTTCACCTTTTTTAGTTTTCCACTATCATATTATTGCTTTTTCTTGATACCCTTAAAAATTTTTAAATCACGTGTTTAGCCAACTTGCTTCTAATTTTTTGTTTTTAAATCACATCAATTTTATTTTATTTTTCCCACTAAAATGAAACTTTCCATTTATTTATTTTTGCAGGTGGAGTAACAGCAATGGGTCCATTCCTGAAGAAATTCTTCCCAGTGGTTTACAAAAGGACGAAAGACCCTGGATTGAACAGTAACTACTGCAAATATGACAACCAGGGCTTACAATTATTCACATCTTCACTCTATCTGGCTGGTTTAACTGCCACCTTTTTCGCTTCCTACACGACAAGAACTCTTGGCCGGAAAATAAGTATGTTGATCGCCGGAATCTTCTTCGTCGCCGGAGTTACCCTCAATGCTGCTGCCCAAGATCTTGCTATGCTCATCATTGGAAGAATTTTGCTTGGATGTGGAGTTGGTTTTGCTAATCAGGTGTGTTATATCTTTCAATTGATTTCGTATATTATGGACAAATAAGTCAAGATGGTGGCCTCTCAATAATAATTAATGACGTCCCTTTAATTCATATGAAGCGTCACACAAGTTTAATGTACCAATATGTATCACCTTTTTCGTCCCATAATTGAACCGTGTATAACAAAGTAAATTATTAGAATGGAACGGAACGAGTATAAATTTGTGGGTTTACAGAATCTTAATTTCTGCTAATTAACCAAACCTTGATGCATATGAGTGTCGGCATGAACCATGGTCCATGGTTAATTACTTTCCACTTCAATTTAGGAGGTCGCTGATGTTGAGCACATGGAGATCATATATATTTCACGTTTGTTTTAAAAAGTCGAGAAATTGAAATCTACTGTGACAGAAATGTAATAACAACAAAATATTTGTTACTTTACTGAATAAAATTAAGTTGATTGGTTTGTGGTATGAGAGAAATAGATATATTGGTAAAAACTACAACAAAACAAAAAGAGGTGTAGATGAGAAGACGTGAATTAATTGGGTCAATAGATTAAGATGCAAGACTAAAAGAAATTTTAGAAAGTTGATGTCGTTTTCTTCGTTCTTTCCCTTTTTTTTTTTTCCTATTTTTAATGATTTCGAAAATGAAAGTATTGACTTATTTTGCATGAGATATTATTGTGATTCTTTGCAGTTTGGAGGCTAGCGATATAATTTTGCCAAATAGCTAAACGATAAAATAAAATACTTCTTATAGTCAATCTTTGAAGTCTAGCTGTATGGTTCTTGTGGATTTTGCAATTTTTTTCCCCAAAATGTCCGCCATCCAGGAAAATTCCAAAGGTTCAATACTTTTGATTGAAGTAAATTATTTTTGTTTTGTGATGGAAAGAATGTATATCAAATATTAATTTTGCAGTAAACTTTATGAATAAAAATTATTATTAATTTTTAAAAAACATGTAATTCTTGTTATCCTTTTTTGTCATAAATTTTAACTTTATTCTTATTCATTTGAATATCCAGATTAGGGTTCATGAATCTTGTGAGTTTAAATATGCTTTCTCTATGATGTTCTTTGTTCTTTTTCATTAAAAACCAACTTTTGAGGTTTTGGATAAGATAGATATAGAAGCAACTAATGGTATGTATGTTCTTGATTGTGTTTATACAAGTCAACATCGACTTTGCTAGATTGAAATGTGGTCGTGGTCCATTACTTTAGCACAAATTCCCTCTTTTCGTTTTTACTTTTCGTGAACGCTGATTAGTACATGATATTTTGTTCGTCCCAAAATAATGAACTTTACTTGTGTGATCAGGCGGTGCCGTTGTTCTTGTCGGAGATAGCACCTACCAGAATCCGGGGAGCACTCAACATTTTGTTCCAACTTATGGTCACCATTGGCATCCTTTTCGCCAACCTCGTCAATTACGGAACTGACAAGTAAGCTACATATGTCCCCAAAAAAAAAAATAAAAAAAAATCCTTATTTGTTAAATAATTTGTTCAAATATATTCATTCGTCATCTAACTGACCTTTAATTTGACTAATGAACGATCACATTTTTGAGTTCATGTGACACCTAGTTCGATGAACTCATCCCTTGAATATATTTTTTCCCAATTTATTTAATCCTTTAAGGAAATAATTCACCAAACCTGTTGATTAATTTGTGCAAAACTGATTGGCGGATAAGTTAAAACCTTGAACACACACGTTGATCAATCACCGACAGCCAGCAAAAAATGATTCTTGAATTTGGTTCCCAACTACCTAACAATATGGAGATATATAGGCCAATACTAAATTGTTTAATAAATTTTTATTGGGTTGTTAATGTGATGAAAGTACAATTTTCAATATGTGATTGGTCCACATCTTGAATAAATTATAACGACCTCACAGATGGTGACCCATATTTATTCAATTTATTTGAACTGACACAATTATGATCCTTCTGTTTTTAATTTAATAAGCCATTATTATGTTTAGCTTAACTTAGAAATCATCATGGTGTTCCATCATCATTGGGGACCAAAAGAGTTTCCTCCTATAGTCCTTAGCTTCAAATTAATGTCTTGATGAATCGAATAGATTATGATTCGTATTAAAATTCCAAATGAGTAATATTGAATAAAATTTTGGTGAACCGAATTAATTGTGACATATTGTATCGTTATTAGTACTTAATATAATGTTATCAACTCGTGACCATGTTAACATGACCCATTCTAATATTGGGATATTATATCCAAAAGGGAATTTTATATTTTTTCCTATTTCCAATTTTTCTGACCAAGAATTTGTTTTTTTTTTTTTCTCCATCAATTTAACAGGATGCATGGAGAAAATGGATGGAGGGTATCATTGGGATTGGCTGGAATTCCAGCAGGGCTTCTAACTGTTGGCGCGCTTTTTGTAACTGACACTCCAAACAGTTTGATTGAAAGAGGTCGTTTGGAGGAAGGCAAAGCAGTTCTTAGACGAATCCGAGGAATTGATAATGTTGAACCTGAGTTTGAAGAACTTGTTGAAGCCAGCCGTATTGCTAAACAAGTTAAACATCCTTTCAGAAATCTCCTGATGCGTAGAAATCGGCCTCAGTTGGTCATCGCGGTCGCGTTACAGGTATATTGTTATATTCTTTCCGTCCCAAAATTATTTGGCTAAAGGTGTAATCGTCTTGATACTTAATCTGTTGCAATATTTTGTTACAGATATTCCAACAATTTACCGGGATCAATGCGATTATGTTTTACGCGCCCGTGTTGTTTAACACAGTAGGATTTGGTGGAAATGCATCTCTGTATTCAGCTGTTATCATTGGAGCTGTTAATGTTCTTTCAACTCTAGTATCGATCTACTCAGTTGACAAAGTTGGAAGAAGAATGCTGTTGTTAGAAGCTGGAGTGCAGATGTTTTTGTCCCAACTTGTGATTGCCATAGTTTTGGGAATCAAAGTTAAGGACCATTCTGAAGATCTTAGCAAAGGGTGGGCAGTTTTTGTGATCATTCTGGTTTGCACATTTGTGTCTTCTTTTGCTTGGTCTTGGGGACCATTGGGGTGGCTGATTCCGAGTGAAACATTCCCTCTCGAGACGCGATCGGCCGGTCAGAGTGTCACGGTTTGTGTCAACTTGCTGTTTACCTTTGTCATTGCTCAGGCTTTTCTGTCAATGCTCTGCCATTTCAAGTTTGGGATCTTCCTGTTCTTCTCCGGTTGGGTTCTGATCATGTCGATTTTCGTGTTGTTCCTTCTCCCCGAGACTAAGAACATCCCCATTGAGGAAATGACTGAGAGAGTCTGGAAGCAGCATTGGCTGTGGAAGAGGTACATGGATGATGATGATCATGATGTTATTGGTAACAAAGGGTACTCCAATGGAGTTAATCCTTCTTCACAATTGTGAAAAAATCTGCTGATCTGCAGTAATATTTTGGTTTGGATTTGAATCAGAGACATTATGTATACCTTTGTAGTAGTAATAGTAGGTAGTGAAAACTAATGACACTCTTCTATAATTTGGTGAAAGAAGAGTGTGGACTACATATTGTATGAAACTTATGTTAGTGCTTTATGCACTAGTTCTTCCCTTTGAGAGAGTTTGATCCCTAGTCCTGATGTACACAAGCAATATTATGTCAATTAATTTGCATTGTTTCTCCTAGTTCCAACTTAAAGTCTTGTGATTTTATACTATCTCTTCTAACTTCTTCATTTCTGATTTCGTTGGTGATTCATTTTTCGAAAAAATTCCTTAAAAAATTTTTCTGTACGAATCATTATCCAATTTTAGTACTCCTTCTGTTCCAAAATTATTGTCCAGTTTGAGATTTCACTTTTAGTAGAATTTGAACTAGAAATGAAAACTCAAACTGGACAATAATTATGGGACGGAGGGAGTATATGAAACTATTGTTCCAACTGCACTTTAGTATGCCTAGTTATGTAGGTTGAGTAGAGGGGAAAGATAGATTTTACTTGTAGAAAGCAATAATATAACAAGAATGTAATCATGGCACTCTTGATCAAATGTTGCGTAGTATGTATAGCATGATTAAACCATCTATGACCTAATCAAACCCAACCATTCTTTCCTTTCAAGTTTTTCAAAAAAACATGTTTTATGAATTCAAAATAAGCAAAAAGCCCAACAGCATGATGCCAAAATCCTACCACATTTTGGTTCATTTCTTTAATTACAGGAATAAAATTATAAACTCACAAAAAGCTTGCCATATGTCTCTAGTTTCCGAGAATCAATTTAATTATGAGAATATTATCTGTTGAATAAAGAAATGATATACTTCATTGTCGAGAAAACTTTTCTTCTTGAGAGTGTCAATGACAATGTGACAGCCAAAATTTTTATCTGGCCATTGTTTGTTTATTTTGATGTAGAAAATATGGAAAAGGAAAAAGACAAATAAGAATCAGAACGTCAAAATTTATTCGTCACGCCAAGAACATAGTACACTAACTTCGTTTACGTTGTACCAACTCATAATACAATCATCAACAGCATTTTGATTTCAGATTTTGATACCGTGAAATGACTTCATTCGACATATATGTGAATTGTTTTTTAGGACGTAATGCTCAAGCATTTGTTGCATCACCCACTGAGCCTAAATATAGAGAAAATTAATGTTTTCTTTTACCTGCAATTCTTGCTGAATGGAAACCTTAAACTCCACAAATTTTTTCATCTTTCATTTGGATTGGTTTCTACAGTTATGTGCCCGCTACAAATACAAATTTTTTAAGTAAAGTTAACCATTTATCTAGGCATTCAAAGTAAAATTTTGGCCAAAAAAGACCAAATTACTAAATAAAATTTTAAAAAATAAATCAACATCCGTTCACAAAATCGCTTGTTGGTAAATTAATCATATCATTTCACTGGATGAATTCAATGTGTTTGTTGGTCCTCACGTCATTGTATTGAGGAGATTTAAACAACTTTATCTGCATCACTTACTGAATCATTTCACTGAATGAATTCACTGTCTCTATCATTACTCTTCAAATAATAACGCGCTTATTATACAAACAAAAAACCACTATTTAACTTCAATAAACCTTTACAGGGAATCTCTGAAAAGGTATTCAAGGATCACAATCATTTACAAATTATGAAATGAAAGTATAATAAATATGATAATTAGGGGAACGAAATTACTCTCAAAATGTCATTTCGGTTTGAAACGGCCACTACTTCTTCCCTTTGTGGGGTTTGTTAAATATGCAGCCAACTTTACGTGCAAGGCCCAGTTAAATCAGCCAACCAAAAAGGGCCCATTTTTTTTTTCTTTTTTCTTTTTAATAGAATAAGAATATCCTGATTTCAATTTCACACCAAGAAGTGCTTCAGTCATTTCCAATTCAACTATACATATATATATATATATATACAGTTTGTTCCCAAGAAAACTGAACAGACACTTCAAATTCTTCTCTTTCGATTTCCAATTTCCTTCTTGAAAATAGAAAGGAAAGTTAAGAACCCATTATGGAGATGGAAAATAGAGCTATGGCAGCAGTTTTTTTGGTGTTTTTTGCTTCATTGGTTCATGGCTCAGTTGGGGCTGTTTATAAGGTTGGTGATTCTGCAGGTTGGACAACAATTGGCAATGTTGATTACAAGGCTTGGGCTGCTACTAAATCCTTTCAAGTTGGTGATATCATTTGTATGTATTCCATTTCTTCAGGCTCTGTCAAATGGGTCATCTCTTAATCATATTATTTGTCACCTTATGATTCTTGTTTTGCATGTTAAAAATGTGTTCTTGAATCAGAGGATTTTGGTTCTTGTTTGCATGTTGCAAAGTTGTGTTCTTGATCATAAATTTTGATCATTTTTGGCTTTTAATTTCTTTTCTTTTTTCTTTTTTTTTTTCCCAACTGAAGGAGTTATCTCTGTTTCTGGGAGGTTCAGTTTTGAAAGTTGAAATTTTTATGGAAATTCAAGAAGTGGGCTCAATGTTTAATGACTAAGAGAGGAAGAGATAAGGGGAAGGAAACAGAAAAGTTCATTTCTTTATGGTTGTCTTTAAAAGTATTACTACTATCATCTTGCGTTTCTTAATAACCGTTTCTGATAAGAACAGAGAAATGAACCAAAGTCAGTCTAAAAGCCCAGTTTAGAATCCCAGTTTGCCATGTCTTTAGGGAACCTCAATTGATATTTGGCCACTGATTACTGATAAGTCTAAGTCAAAATTTTCACCCACTTCGGCACTTTCTTTATAGATTCTTGGACCATGTTTATATAGCTTTAGGCACTGCCTAGATATTGGGATTCTGGGATTATGCAACAAACTGTGTAGTTTGACTGATCAATTGAAAAGATCACTTGAATTTCCAGGTGGAACATTGTTTACCCTTTTGTTCAATGTTTTCCTAGTAACAAGATAATGGGAAAGGTGTGTGTGTGTGGACCTTCAAATTTTGCATACTTGAATTGTGCACGCTTAATGATGATGATGTTGGCCATAAGGCTAGTCACATTTAGTACTACTTTCTTATTGAAAAGGTGACCACACTAGCCATCCACCCAACCTATGTGAAGCTTTACTGCTGTTTCCTTGAAGTGCTGTTTTTTTAGGCGTAAAAATAAAGACATGGAAGTATTGCTTCCCAACTGTTCTTACTTCTTTTATTGACAATAATGCATCACCAAGAAATGTATTATCTTTGTTACCTAAGTTTGCTAGATTTGCACTTATTTTTCTGGTACAGTTTGGTATCACCAGAATGATTTGGTTTTGATTTTTTTTTGGTGTGTATCTGTTTGTGATCAGTGTTTGAGTACAACCCTCAGTTTCACAATGTGATGCAAGTAACACATCCTCAGTACCAGGCATGCAATGCCTCTTCTCCCATTGCAACTCACACTACTGGAAACGATTCGATCACCATTACTAATCACGGTCACCATTTCTTCCTCTGCGGCGTTCCCGGACACTGTCAATCGGGACAGAAGGTCGACATTAACGTGCTTCGTGTTCCACTGGCTCCTACTCCATCCGAAACTCCCTCGCCGCCATCGGATCCTACTGCAACGCCAGCGCCCGCTCCAAATCAGGCTGCTCCACAGTATTCTTCAGTTAGGTTCTTTGGAAGCCTTGTCACAGCTATTGCTGTCTTTGCTGGGTTTAGTTTCTAGTTTAGCTTGACAAGAATCACACTTTTGAGCTTATTTTGTATTGTAAGCTCTGAATTTGGAGAAATTTACATTGACAGTGTATTTCAACAGTCAGAATTTTACTTACCGAGAAAAGTCAGAATTTTCAATAATTTGTAATGCATTTCAGTACTCTCTGTCCCCTAAATGATTGTCTTGATTGTTCTATATACCTTTTTAATACAACGAACGAGACAATCATTTTGGGACGGATATTGTTTAGCAGCTGTAAATGTAATGACGGTAGAAACAAGGTGGATTCAAAAAGAGTAGCGTAGCTGAATATTTCTTCTTTTGAACTCGGAGGGCAACATATGAACATATGCATACAACAAAGAACAAAGCTGAAATCCTAAATCTAAAATTCGAGCAGCCCATGAAATCTTCTCTCATCAAAGAGAATTATTTCTTCGAGATGATCTATAATGTGTACAATATTTCTATGTACACTATCTTCTCTTCATTCTTGCATTTGTTTTTTTCTTCTTTTTTCCTTCTTCTTTTTCGGGACGAGCAAACGGGCTTGCTGCTTATTGCTAGTGAAATTTGAACTCTCGACCTTTAGAAAGAACCAACGAAACACTAACCCTCTTCATTCTTGCATGTGAAAATCACATTTTTTTATTTATTTTTTTCACATTCAGGTAGACATCTCATATTCTCTTGCAGGTGTATTGCTCATGAATTTCTTCCAAACAGGATGAGTTTTCCAGACCCTCTCAGTCATCTCATCGATCGGCACACCTTTAGTCTCTGGCAAGAGGAACACAACAAATATCCCCATGACAAAAATCCAAATTGCAAAGAAGAAAAAGATGAAAGCGCGCATGCCGCACAGCATAGATAAGAACAGCTGAGCTATGAAGAATGTGAAGAACATGTTGGAGCTGACAGCAAATGCAAATCCTGCGGTTCGAGTCTCGAGAGGGAATGTTTCACTGGGAATCAACCAACCCAGAGGACCCCATGACCAAGCAAAACTCATCACATACAAGCACACTAGCACCACCACAACAGCGGCTAGTCCTTTGCTAAGCGAACCGGTTGCTGATAAATGTGTTTGCAGAATAGCTCCAATTGCCACCTGCATTTTTTTGTTCAGCAAAATTTCATTATAAGAACATTACAGCAGACATTAGTACATTTATTATAGCTTCTGTTATAACAAAATCTTTACTTGGCAAATGAACATCTGAACACAAGCTTGAAGAAGCAACTTTCTCCTTCCAATTCTGTCCACTGAGAAAATGGAGACTAATGTGCTGAAAACATTCACAAGTCCTGTGATGACAGCAGACAGAAGAGATCCATCGCTCTTGAATCCAACGGTCTGAAACAGGACAGGCGCGTAGAACATAATGGCGTTGATCCCAGTGAATTGCTGAAACACTTGCATTAGTACTCCAATGATCAACGGGGGCATGCTAGCTTTCTTCATCAGTTTTTTGAATGGATGCTTGACTAGTTTTGCTGTCTCGCAGCCGTGCCTGATCTCTTCGAATTCTGCTTGAACATTGTCAACTCCTCTGATCTTCCTCAATGCTTTGATCCCTTCTTCTTCTTTTCCACGCTCGATCAAGCTTGCTGGTGTCTCAGTGATGATCAATGAACCAACAAACAGAAGAATAGCAGGAACTCCTGCCACTCCAAGAGATACTCTCCATCCATTTGGATGAAGGTTTTGTGTTGCATAATTAACAAGATTAGCAATTAGTATTCCTACTGTGATTAGAAGTTGGAAAAGGATGTTGACAGCGCCACGATGTTGAACAGGTGCAATTTCTGACAAGAACAAAGGAACAGACTGGAAGCTCTCCAGATCAGATAACAGCATAGAAAGCCAAAAAAACAGTGAAAAAACACAGAACTGAATAACAAAGGCAAACAACAGAAACTCTGTTACCTCATTCCCAAATCCCACTCCAATGCCAAAAAGAATCCTGCCTATAATCAATGTCCATTTTCTCTCTGCTAAAGCACTCACTATAGCTCCAACCACGAAGAAAGCGGACGCCATTGAAATGGTTGGTTTTCTTCCTAGTAATGAACAAGATTTCGATGCACCAAAGCTTGCAATAAGTGCAGCAAGGTACAAGGAAGATGTAAACAGCTGCAGAAGCTGATTGTCATATTTACAGTAGTTGTTTTCTTTTGCATGTAATTTCCTCTCATAAACATCAGGAAAGAACTTTATCAAGAAATCATTCATGGCAGTTACTCCACCTGAAAACATTAACACACACACAAAAAAAATCACATTACAAACAAAAAAATCATTCATGGCACTAAGAACACTTGGGAAAAAAAAATGCCACTGAAATTTTGACCTGAAATTCCAATATCATATCCAAACATCAAGCCACCACAGGCTGCAAGGAACCAACATGCCAAAACATAGGGAGTAATCTTCGATTCAAAATGTGGCTGAGAAGGTCCGGCTCCGATTGTCATTTTAGATTATTAGTATTGATCACACTTTATACAATGAAGATATAAACTTTGTTACTGAAGTTCTTGATAAAAAATAAAATTGGTATTAACAAAGTGACATTTTTCTTTTTCTTTTTCTTTTTTTTTTTGATGTTTTCTTTTTCTAAAAGTTAGAAGTGTTACTTTAACAAGTTGATTTACATCCAATGTTTGAGGGAGTGTTTAGTTTTATATAGTGATAGAACTAAGAAAGAGGACAAGTGAGATCAGCATTTCATCCTTAAGTGTCCAAAAATTGGGGTTATCCCATAGATTAATTTGCTAATTTTGTACATATTCTAGAACCTGGGAATTATTAGGGTATTTAGGAATTGAATGGTGTTTGAAAATGTAGTAATTTTAGTCCAATTGATTGATGTGGAAATGCTTGTCTTTCTTAAAGGATGAACAAGTGTTTGACATGGCCTGGGTTGCAGGGAGTTTTGATTTGGTCAATTGCAAGTGCTTAAACGAAAATGCAGGATCCACATGAAATAATATCTTGATTTCATTTTTTTACTTTGTATTTTTATTTTGTTGTGGATGGAGTAGATATATTCCAAATAACTTTTTGAATCATATTGCAATTTAGACGGTTTTTTTTGGGGTATAATACAATGTTGTTATTTACACATTTTGATAACTGATGACGTTTATCTTTTTTAAAAAATAAAAATAACAGCTGATCCACTTTTGGCATCATTAACAATGGAATTTGAAGAATTTAAAGTCATTTGAAAATTAAATAATAATGAAGAAAGTGAAAGATTATAGTGACTTTGGGATAGTAGCTTAGATGTAAATTACTTATTGGTTAATTTATTAGAGATGGTTATTAGCACATTACATAAACTACCAATAGCATATATACACATCACTCGCTACAATAAAGTCATTATGATTTTTCAGGTATTGATAATTATATTTTTGTGTGACAACACCCGGTCATTGAACTATGAGTTATATATTTATTATTTTCACTTAAAACATCTGAAATTTTATCGAATTGCGATACATATAGAGAAATTTAATAAGAAAAACTTACAAAGAATAATGTGACTGAATCTTAAGTATCTATTTAAATTTAAATAGATAAATCCATAGAGGTGAAGCATTTGTATGAATCAAATTTGCTGAGGAGGAAGGGGAGGAGGGGGTTGGATCAAACTCGAAGGTGGGTTTTTGTTGAACACGACGTATCCACTTCCCAACGTTGACATATGAACGGTAGGTCCAAAACAGTGCAGGAAAACAACAAACGGCAACTAAAATGATCAGAATATCGCCGGCGGAACTCAATCTTCCCTTTTCCGATTTCGGTACCACCACAACAAGTGATATACCAAAAGATATAGTAGTTGCCGCAATCGATAACCACATGAGCCAAGACAAAGGTGCGATAAATCGGACCCGGCCGGCTGGTGGTAGATCCACGAAGCAACACCATAATTATGCACAACGACGAAACAACTGCTACTGCATTAGCCCTGATTAGCTGCTTAAACAAATACGGGTATGTCTGTGGAATAACTGCTTCTCCAACTGTGTGTTTGGCTGGGCCTTCTAGCAGGCTTTCTTGCCACACCCTGCCCGGTGGGCTTACCGTTGACTGAAAAGCAATGGTTCCGATAAGGGAAGCCACAACCATGATATCTTCAGTAATCTTTATAAAATGTTGCCATTTCATGGCGTGCCGGACCTGATTGGAGATAGCTTTTCTCCCTATTACTGCTCCAGCATCAGCCAAGGACTGTAGAATTCCTACGTCCACATTACCATGCATTACCAGTTGTGTTTTCGGATATGAAGTTTATGAAATTTCTCAGGGTCGACTCCGCCTTGTTCTAGGATAAGATCCAATGCAGTTTTCCCATTTGTGTTCCTTTGGTTCACTAATATAGGAAAATTGTTTATCAAGTAAATAATCATCTCCCGCTTACTCTGCAATTTACCAATAAAATCACACTTCAATAAATAAGACATACACTCAGTCGATTTAGTCCCAACGTTTCACCTTTATTAATGATTTTCCTCTGAGGTTCTAACTTTCATCAATTTAGTCTTAAAAGATGAAACTCTTCACTAATTTATACTATTGTTAGCCCCAAAACAGTACATTTATGATGTAAAAATGATAATTATACCCCTTTTGCTACCTTTCTAAAGTATTTTTTGATAAAAATTATTTACAAAAGTGATTGCTTCTTATTCTTATTATTTGATATTTAGACTAAAAAATAAATTTGCAGCTATTCTTTGTTTTCTTTGTTTGTCCGTTTTTTTTGGGGGATTATTCTTTATTGTTTCTTATTCTCTAATTTTTTTTTTTGGATAATTAATGCTGGGAACTCTACCAAAAATGTTGAGAACTCCAGCAAAGATAGGGCAAATCCACACTCATTACAATAGCTAATGGGAGGTAAACTACACTAATAAAATTTGAAGTGGCAAGTTTGGGTACGAATCAGAAATTCGTATATGTGTTTGCCAGAAGAAACCCTTTAGATTTAACAATAGGCAAACGTAGAGAGCCAATTTCCGCCCATGTTAGAGGGGAGAGTCGAACTCAAGACTTTTTTTTTTTTTTTCAGAAAGCAACCGTAATTTTATCATTGAATCAATTCGTATTTCTTATTCTTTGTTTTATACTAAAAATCAAATTTCGATGACTAAAGATTGAAGATTTTGTCCCCACCGAAAAGGATTTTGGAACCAAAAGATTAGAAAATAAGTTAAATTATAAGAAATTTAAGTAAATATAGAATGGTATGTTCACTTAACTTTTTCTTTAGAAAGATATTTTATTAAAAAAAAGTTTAGAATGTCATATAAAGGGTATAATTATCTTTTTATGTCATGAAATGTATATCTTTTGGAGCAAGTGAACAAAATCGACGTGCAGTTCTATTATTTCGGGACCAAATTGAGAAAATCAGTTAAACGTTGGGCGCTAAATCAACCTTTCTTCCCTATCATTTATTTCCAAATAAATAGCAAGGGGGAACAAAAATAGAAACCGCACAATAATAAGAAAGAGTGGAAGTGTGTAAATTCAACTACGTACCCTGATTTTGGTTAGAGAGAATGGCCAGATGAAGAACGGTGATACCAGTCTCAATTTTGGAAATTACAAACTCAGGATCTCTAAATGCACAAAGTAGTGATTTCAGGACCTCCACTTGATTGTACTTGATGCACAAATGACATATTGTCCCACCACCCCCATCCGTTCCTTCAAGCGCTGCTTATCACATCGTAATTTCGAATTAGCCGGTTGAAGATCCCAACTTGGCCATACATGGCAGCAAGCAAGATGTATAGGGTTTCTGCCATCTCGATCTCGAGCCAAACACATTTGTCGCGACTAACGGCGAATTCGATTCCAAAATCGCTTTCACGGATCCTTCGTGACCCAACATTGCGCCGATATGAAGTGCATTCCGTTCGTCCCGACTCAAATTGTTCTTATCAAGAAGATGTTCATCCTTCTGAAGCAACAGAGTTAGGGTATTTGTATCACCTGCAAATGCAGCATTAAAAAGCTCCTTTTCCATTATTTTTAATGCGGGAAAATGGAATTTTGGATCAATCGAATTGTTTAAAATTTCAGTTAACCAGTTAATTAATACATGCACGAACATATATAAGTTGGACAGTAGTAGGAATTAGTACATTGCTTATGGGTAAGCCTTTACAAAAAGAGAAAAGTGAAGGGAATAAGAATAAAGTTGTCGTACGATGAAAGATATACATATCATTCGAATAACTGCATGCAATCGTCCTCAGTTTTCTTTTTCCAATGAGAAGATACAGTTTTTTCTTTTCTCTTTTTCTTTTTTTTTTTTCGCTAATTCTGAAGGGAAATTTGTGTGTACATCTACGAAATGTTAACAAATAATTTGAGGTTCAAAACATAATTTAATTGCAAATAAGTGAATATAGTAATGTAATCTTACGTACAAATGAGTATTACTTGTTGTCAGTTATTAGTAAGTTCATAAAACATAATTTAATTGCAAATAATTTGAGCTTCCCCGTTGACTAGGATTTTTTGTTTTGTATTTTTAATTTGGTACATGAACGCCAGGGTTACATAAACCATACTCAACTGATTTGCTTGATCATGTGTTCATTTGCAAATATCTCTAGACAATATTTGTGGATACAATAAATATATTTTTTTTCTCATTTTCTTTATTATGTCTTTTTACCCTCTTCACTCAAAGAACAAGGGATAACTTTTTTTTTCTTTGGTTTCCTCTAGCCATTGACGTGCTATTACAAAGTATTACTTTTTCTTTGTGAACTTTAGTTTATATCACATGCAATATTGAGATCATTCATTTCGTCTTCATGTTGCAACTCGGATTGTCAAATTCCAGGAGCATAATACCTTTGCTTTATATAATAGATTGGAGTTAGTAATTCTTCTAAGAAAAGTAATATGTAAATTGAATTAGCGTTCCCATTACAAGATACCAAAAACCAAAAACAAGTTCACATTTAAAACCTGATATAATATGATTAATAAATTTAAATTAGCGTTCTTATTTACAAGATACTTAGTGAAACATTGGGTTTAGTCTTTGGACAGAAACGTCAATTTGCAAGAGGTACTCTTAATGCAATAATCAAATTTGATAGTTCACTCATGTCAAATAATAAGTCTTTTTTTTGGACCGACTTAATATTCAAATGGAAAAACATAATAATTGTCATATTTATTACCACAAGTATGTTTTAATTTCGGCCAAATAATGACCTTCTTTTGGGCCGATCGTTACCCGCATGAAATAAAAATACGCAATTTTCATCTTGGTATTTTAAATTAATCAATCAATACAAAAGAGGTCACTTTAACGGCATATTGTATCATTCAATCAATATAAAAATACTAGATGTCCGAAGATAGATTTCTTTATGTCAAAATTTGATTTTAATCACGTTAAACTGTAATCCTAAAGTTTTTAGAACAAAGCTAAATTTTCCTTAATCAACTAAAAAGTTGACCGAAACCATATATGATCAAATCATAATTAGCCGATGCATATAGTCTTTATTTGCTTAATTTCCTTAATAGTTGATCCAGTAGTTGTTTCTTGATTTTAAAGTACCCAGTGAAGGAAAATTTTGCACAAATTTCTAAACACAACAACCACCATTCACTTGGAGTAATCAATTAATAGATCATTCAATAGTGAAACCAAATCGATCAACTAGATTTTATTATTTAGTTGCAGTCGGAATTGAGTCCAAATTACTAATAATCATAGTTAATAAATACTGTTAAAAAAGAAACTGATCACCGCATGAAACCAACAACCGAATTCATTATCTTAAATGATCGATTTAATTTCACAACTCAACCGACCAAAAAACACCCCACTTTAGGTTTAGTTTTGCTCCAAAAAAAAAAAAAAAAAAAAAAAAAAAACTGATCCTGGAATTACTGAATTGCACGTTAATATGTGAGACCCAGGATTTAATTGATATTGAATTATCATTTGTACTGTACAAAGAAACTTTAATATACAGATTTTGCAAAATCAAATAGTTCTGCACAAAATCGCACTAAGCACCGAAACCAAAGCATTATATTAACTATTATGGTAGGGGATCTTAACACAAAAATAACCAAATAATTTGCGCACCAATATTAAGTGCCTAAACTGAATCCCCATTATATTAATTGATAAAAAAATTGCACAAATCAAATTGATCATTGAAAAACCAAAGACGAAACTATGACATAAACGGCATCAACGGATTCAAACCGAAACCAATTTTATATTCTTAACCGGAGGGTCTGGAGTTTTACTTTAAATCTGAAATTTTATGATACAGACCAAATGGATCGCGAAAGGTTGTATTCATCAATTATCAACAACGAAACTAATCAATTAATGACCATAAAACTAAACCCATATCTGAGTAAACAACCCAGGATAAATCATTAACAAAATCAATAATTAATCCATCAAACTAAATTGATACCCAAAACCTAGCTAGATCGACTGAAGACATACCAAAATAATTGATTGATCATCAAAATCAATAATTAATCTACATGAATAAATTCTCCACCAAAACGAAACCAAAACAAAAAATAAAAATAAAAATTGTTGTAGACTTGATCAACCTAAAACCTAACCTCCTGATGTGCCAAACCTTAATCCGTAAACCAAAAGCACGGAGTTGATTTTTACGTTGCAGAAATAATTTTCAACGTAGAAAACACATAAACCGAATTTCTCAATAATTGACATGAAAGCTGCTCTGATATACCTCCATATCATATTATTGAGAACCGTACGAAAGTAAAAGCGTACCTTAATTTGTAGTAGCAAGAGCATCGATGTGGTTTGGTCTTCCAGATGATTCCGTCAAAGAATCTCTGACAAATAGGGAGTCGAAGCATGACGGCTCATCTGAGGACCACAACCAATATATAATAGGTTTTCGATTTCACCCATCATAGAATAGGAAACTGAGCCTTAAGGTTTCTACACAATAATGAGTCACACCTTATAACTTAATTATTATAATTAACCCAAATTTTAATTCATTTAATTAAATTACTTTATGTACGCTAGTATTTTATGATAGCCCGTAATATTCAATTATATATATATAAGTCTACATAGATCTTACAATAAATTCACTTATTTGTTCCCTGAGGAGAAGACTTTACTTACTGCTATACTACCAGATCTGTTAGGAGTAGGTTAATTTATTTTTGTTAGTTTTACACCCAGCAGTACAATGTCTAAACAGTCATAACTTTAGCCTGAATTGATATTTTTATAACACAAATGCGTAGTAGTCACTACTTTAGAAATTGACGTGTGTCAATTTGAAAGAACTTAACAACAATATCCATTCACAAAATTTTTAATCACATAAACATATTTCCGTATAGTATTATTCTATCGTGCCACATCAAATCCTATATGTTCATAACACAATTTCTAAACTATAGTAACTTCTAGCCCAAATTCATCTTTTATAACACTTTTTGTTATACTGCAAAACACGTTACTTTAAAAAGTGACAACTATCATTTAGAATCAATACCAAAATTTCATTTGATTGGAAAGTCACGAATATAAACACGAACACATATTCGAAGGGTAAATCAATGAAAGATTCTTACCTGTTTTGGAATCAATCTTTGGTAGATTTCCTGATTTTATTCAAATAAATAAGTACGGCGTTTAAGACGCCAACAAGAGAAATATTGGTAGGAAAAACCCCAAGAACTGAGTAAAGATGTGGTCAGATTGGGGACTGTAACTCCAAGATCAGGGTGCAAATTCTATTGATAGTAGGAACATAAAAGTGCAAGTGGTTTAACATGAATATAGAAAAAACTATTACTTGCTCATCCATTGTACAAGAACACTTAATCTCACCGCTGAGGAACGTAATTCGTAGGTGACAACTTGAGCTTAAGAAAAACCGTGTCAATTGAATAAAAAAACTCTCCTAGTAAAAGTCAAAATAGATTCGTATTGGTTGCTTGGCTTACCTATGGGAAGCTAGTATAAGTCCATTGTAACAATCCTATAGTTACAATAATCTCTTCCATCCAATGACTAGTGTTGGACTGAAAAATTCAGTCGGTTGATTATAATTACTCCCTTTTCTTTGTAATATTAATAAAAATATTAAGTACACCCAAGTAAATGCCCATAACGAAAATCTGAAAAATTTGAATTATAAATGTTATGCAAAAATATGGTAATCTAAAACTATTGCAATTTGCAAGAGAGGGCAAACCAAAAGCAGACAATCTAAAATTCGAGTCACAGTACATACGTTCCATGAAAATTCAATCATTTTAGATCTATTTCGAGAAAACAATAGTAAGAGCTAGCACAAACTTTAAATCAATGGAAGAAAAAGGCCTTTTTTTTCTTTGATAATATAATTTCAAGATACAAAAATGTAGTATTAGATAGATGGATGAAAGAACCAAAATTCACTCAGATAGCACACGCAAAAAAGAAGAAGAAAAAAAAAGGAGAGATTAATTATTAATATAAGAAAATAAAACACATCTGATATAACTTCGTTCATCTCATCAACAACTTTAAAGTCAGTCTTTTTTTTTAAATTTTTTTTCCCTTTCCCCTTAAAAATTTTCTTCTTCTTTTTGATTTTCCACTTTCACAATATCACTAAAATATATTATTATATATAATAATATAAGATGAAAAATGAGAAATTAATTAAATTAAGCCATCTCGTGGTCCTTTGGTTCATCATCATCGAAGAACTTCTTCCACACTGGATGTTGCTTCCAGACTCTATCCACCATGTGTTCGATCGGGATTCCTTTGGTTTCCGGCAAGAGGAAGATGACGAAAAGACCCATGACGACGATCCACGCGGAGAAGAAGAAGAAGATGTAGGCTTGGAGGTGGCACATCATTGACAAGAAAGCCTGAGCAATGATGAAGGTGAAAAGCATGTTGGAGCTGACGGCGAAGGCGTAGCCGGCGGTTCTGGTCTCCAACGGGAACGTCTCGCTCGGGATCAACCAGCCCAGTGGGCCCCACGACCACGCGAACGCCATCACGAAGAAGCAGACGAAGAACACCACCACGGCGGCAAGGTTCTTGTCCAGTGATCCCGTCAATTTCAGGTGGTTTAATAAGATGGAACCCGTCGCAACCTGTAGTGGGAAAAATTATTTTATATCGTGAATTATGCAAAATCAAATATAACATACACGATTGAGATTTGATATGTCCATATAGTAATGACATATTGGGGACTTGTATATTGGAACGGAATAAATATTGTATATATTGTTTATTGTAGTAGACACGACTAAAAAATATGTATTTTATGAATTATGCTAAATCAGCTATAATATACACGATTCACATTTGATATGAAAAAACGACAATATATATATATATATATATTTATAGTAACGATTATTTCGGCTAGTATAAATATATAAAAGACTAAAATTATAATAATTTTTATGTAGGGACAGAAGGAGTATAGTATAGTGTAGATCGTACCTGAGAGATCAACATCTGAACACAAGCTTGGAGAAGCAATTTCCTCCTACCGAATTTATCAACACCAAAGACACCGACAAAGGTACTTCCAACGTTGACAAGTCCGGTAATGACAGAAGACAAGAGAGAAGCATCACTCTTGAATCCCAATGTCTGGAAAAGCACAGGGGCATAGAACATAATGGCATTGATTCCAGTCATTTGTTGGAAAACTTGGAGAAGGACAGCAATGATCAATGGGGGCATGCTTTGTTTCTTCATCAAGTTCTTGAATGGGTGCTTGATTTGGCTAGCAATCTCGCAGGCAAGCAAGATCTCGTTGTATTCGGCTTCCACGTCATCCACCCCCCTGATCTTCTTTAGGGCCAACTTTCCCTCTTCCTTTTTGTTGCGTTCAACAAGACTGGTTGGTGATTCTGTGATGATGAGGGATCCAATGAAGAGCATGAATCCGGGAATGCCGGCCAGCCCGAGGGAAACTCTCCATCCAGATGGATGGAGAAAGGATGTTCCATAGTTAACTAGGTTAGCTATGAAGATACCAATGGTGACAAAGAGTTGGAAGAGGATGTTGACTGCACCCCTAAGATGGACTGGTGCAATTTCTGTCAAAAACAATGGTACAGCCTTCACAACAAAAAAAGAATGATAATTAGTACGTATTCTGTATCACTTTTCGTGTAATATTATTTTTCTTTTGTAACAGGATCCTCTAGACCTGTTATGAGACAGGTGCAGAGGATCCTGTCGGGTGACATTATTGCTCGGGATGGTCAATTGAAATGAGAATTATTTAGTTACCTCATTTCCAAAACCAACTCCAATACCGAAGAGGATTCTACCCAAAATGAGCATCCAACCAGCTTGAGCAGCAGCACTCAAAGAAGCACCAGCCATGAAGAAGGTGGAAGCCAAAAGAATGGTTGGCTTGCGTCCAAGGACTGAGCATGCCTTTGATGCAAAAAAGCTTGAAACAAGGGCAGCCAAATACAAGGATGATGTGAAGAGCTGAAGGATTTGATCATCATATTTACAGTAGTTGTTTTCACTTGCATGCATTTTCCTCTCATAAATTCTTGGGAAGAAATATAACAAGAAATCATCCATGCCAGTCACACCACCTATAAATATCAACCCATAATAAAAAAAAAAGCATAATTCACATATCTAAATTTATTCATCAAATGATTATTTAGTATCATTGAATGAATGATTCAGTTGACGAGACTATAGTCATTATAAAATTGATTGTCAGAGAGAATTGGAAAAGAATAAATGAAAGGAAATGTTACGTACATACCAGAAATACCAATGTCGTAACCAAACATAAGGCCTCCAAAGGCGGCCATGATCCAAGAACCGAAGACATAAGGAGTGATCTTTGATTTGTAAAGTTGTTCGGCCATTTTTGCTGTATTTTTTTTCCTTGCTTCTTCAAACTGTAACAAGATGCCCAAAAAAATAAAATAAAAGTTCTGATATAATTTTTCTTTTATTAATTTCTAAGGTATTAGGGGTACTTTATCTACACAATCACCTGGTAATGCACCCTATAGAAACTAAATATATATATAGTATCTAAAACATATATGTACAAAGGAGAGTAATACAGAGCCAAAGATTTTGAAAGCTAAAGAGATTTCTCTTTGCCCCTTACTCTCCTTAATGTACAAATTAAGGATGAGATGATGGCAGTTATTTGGTAGCTTAAGTTCTTAATTTTTTTTTATGTGGTTTTTATAGAGAATTTTTCATTATTTGAGCCACAAAATATTCGGATTAATTTGTGGATAAGAGTAATTTTTGTTATCTGGAAAATGAGTCATTTAGCTGATTAAACGCAATGGTAAGAAACTCTAGAAATTCGCATAGGCTAACCTTTGTTTTTTTTTTTTTACTAATAAGTATTCGTTGTTTCTTTGTCTTTCTTACAAAGAATTTGACCCTCTCATTTATGCTAAAATATAGTAGGATGGACGAAGTCAAAAAGCGGATTTTAGGGTTCAAGATGAAGCCCCTTCGATCCCTTTTGAAAAGTCAAGCTAGCTTTTTTCATACATATACAGATATTTGGAAAATCGATTGAAATTTCCTAAATTTTTTATAATGAATTTAAACAAATACTACGAAATTTATAAAGATTAATACATGACGCTAGTAGGCAAATGGTCGAAAGATAAAAACTGTCTGAAACGATTAAAGGGACTTGAAATACAACTGAATTGAATTCAACTTCTCACATTCTATAACCAATACACAATTTTGTGCCTGAAAAATAAATAAATAAAGAAATATATCAAAGAAAAGCACCTTAGAAAGAGAGAATTACCTGGAGGAGAAACTGGAAATGTGGCAGCAAAGTTGCGAGAATGGATGCTGAAGCTATACAAAAAAAATTAACAGATGACTAGATGAGCTAAATATCACTATATTTATAGATTTTTTCCCATCGATCTTATTTCGAAAATACGTCCAAAACTCCACAGGATAATAACAGATAATTAATGTGTGATTAAAGATGATAATTCATTGAGTTATTTAGTTCGAAATCGATTGAATAAGTTTGGTAGGATTTCTTAATGATTTTAGTCAGTTAGTCAATAATTTCTATATTTGGGGAGTTTTCCTACTTACAGAGTTTATTTGGTTCATGGTAAATGTCAAAAAGAGCAATTATGAGCTTCCTTTGTGTAGGGGACTAAAAGATAGGGAAAATTAATATGCAATTATGGCATAACCTGAAATTCTGAAATTCTTCAACGTAATCTGTTGACGGAAAACACAGTTTACGTTCCAGCATTGAGTTTTGAATTACACTTTTTCATCCCATTTTCTTGGGTTCACTGATGGACACTGCGTTCCAACAAATTCATTCAATCTCGAAAATTCTACATATATATATATATATATATATTTATATGTTCCTTATCACTTAAATAAGATCGATATCTTATATGCACTTTGGTCTATGCAGAATATGTTGTTTATGAATTAATTAAAAGGAAAAAGAATGATGATGCTGAAATTCATCGAGAATTCGCTAAAGAAAGTGTATTTCCTGATTTTTTTTTTTAATTTTTTTTATAATTCCTTCGCCGAATTCAACCTGTATTCTTTCATCAATTATAAGTCTAGATGATAAACCAAATCTAATTTTATCATTTAGCTGCGACATCTGGTTTTTTAGATTTAAAAAAAAAAAAGAAAAAAAAGAAGAGAAGAGACTATATTGTAATGTTTTCCACAAATCAGGACCGGACCGTTCACCCTAATGTTGTTAAACAATAATATATATATATATATATATATATATATATATATATGCTCCCCACTAAACTCTTGACGAGAGTTGAACAATGAATTAATCATTGTATAATCGAAGTTACACATGTTCAAAAATGAAATTCCTAAAGAGAATGTATATGATCCGATTCCTATTAATTAAGAGCGTAAACTTATACATAGTATTTTTATTATTATGAAATGACTCTTTTGTCTTTCTCATCTTCCTTCTACGTACACTAGACAAGAAAAAAATGAAGAGGTAGAAGTGGGTGACTTCACTGGACAAACCATGGAAACAAAAAAAAAAAAAAAAAAAAAAATTCCAAATCCCATGGTGTGTTTGTGCACATCACCAAATTTAAGTCCATTCCTCGCTAGATTCTTTTATTCAATCCCTGCATGCAACTTAAGATGCTACAGTATATTATACAAATTCATTGTTCATTTTTGACATAAAAATCTTTAAATTCATTTCATATTTTCCATTACTTGAGAGATTGTTTGTCAGTAAAAATTGTGAACTCAAATTTGGGTGCGGTCCACACGGGGACAACAAGCGTCGGAATATGCTTGCAACCTTTGGATGGACATTTTGTGCATGTTCTCGCGGATTCGAATAGAGCTGTACATATATTACCAGGCAAGGAAAAGAAACCTTGTTGGTACCAGGGTCTAGAATCTAAACTATTACACCACATTTTTTACTATTCCTTCTGTCCCACAAAAATAGTTCCAGTTTCAACTTTTTTAATTTAGTCAAACACCAGTAGGGTACAACTCATTTTGTCCTCTAAACTTTCATATATACCCTTTGTGGAAATGATTTCACCCTCAAATTATGAAGCTAAAATTAAAATCCGGTGTGAGCTTTTCAATTTTGCAACTTTGGAATTCCTAAAGAATCATCACGTAGTCCCAAGTATCTCAGAAAAAAAGTTATAGAGGGTTTCTGATTATTCGTATGCTATTAGCTAGGGTTACTAATTTTTAAAACCGCGAACTGAACTAACATGATTTTTTTTTTTAAAAAAAAAAAGACATAATAAAAAGGAAGTAACCATTTTTAAGTTTCCTATACCAATATGGATTTTATGACAGTGTTGACCCAAAATGTCTATACACACAATAGTAAACATGACATCAAAGCCCATCGCATCAAGCAGAGGACTTTCTTTTCCCAATTTCTGCTTACTCTCTCATACATATATAAACTAAAAATTACTATCTCCGTCCTAAAAAAATAGTCCACATTGAGTTTTCAAATTTGTATTAAAAACAGTACAAAATTCAACTCAATGTGGACTATTGTTTTGGGACGGAGGGAGTAACAAATTAATATTTGATGAACCAAAATACAATACAGTTACGTACGTGCCAACTTATCCAAATTAACAGAGTCGATGAGAAGTATGAAAAATTTATTGATGGCATACCTTAGGGACAAAAACCCTTGAATTCAAGGAACTGAGCAGACCATACAACATGTTAGGGATAATTTAGAAAAAAAAAATCCTTTAACAAAGTTGTATACCAAAGTGTAGGCTTAATTACTTACGGTCAATGAGTAGCTGGAATTCAGTGAACTAAATGAAACCTACAAAAGATTCTTATAGAAACAATAAAGAAAGATTCACATGCATCAAAACATGGCTAAAGATGATCAATTCGATGATATGATAGAATATATAATAATCGAAACCCTAACTAGGGTTTCTTACATAGACGGCTAGGGTTGTTACACTATTGTACTATGTATACCATATTATATCATGTAAATAATATAGACAATTATTCTTTCATGGTATTAACCTTCCGATCCTAGGCCGTCACACCACTATTCTAGGGTTTCTTCGCCAATTGGCTTCTTTGCCGTCGGTAAATTCCAATACTTCATGAGCAATTAGTATGTTCTCACTGATGTTTCTGCCTGGCACAAAGCCATTTTGGTGTTCATCAATCAGGTCCGGCATGACAACTTTGAGTCTGTTCGTGATCATTTTTGTAATGATCTTATACTTGATATTACAGAGACTGATAGGCCGGAAGTTATTGGGATGGACATGGTTAGTATATTTGTCTAGTTCCACTCCTCTGGAAAATGTTGTTTGTTGATTACATCTAGAATTGATTGCTCAACATCATTGCCCACAATGTCCCTGTATCTTTGATAAAAGCCAGCTGGCATTCCATCGGGACCCGGAGATTTCCACGGAGACATTTGTTTGATTGCTTGCCAGAGATCAGAGGCCGTAAAAGGCCAAGCCAGTAAGGTAGTTTGATCAGGTGACAACACTTCCTCTACGTTATTGAGGAGGCTTATGAAAAAAAGGAGATGTTGACCATTTTGAGTAAAAGACTCCACTTGCCCATAAATTCCAGCAAAGTACTGTAAGATCAGGTTACTCATCTGTGTTGGACATTGTAACAACTCTCCTGCATCATTTTGAAGTTCAGTTATCCATTTATTACCATTTTTCCCGTTGGCCCATTTATGAAAGAACTTAGTGTTGAGGTCCCCTTGTAATGGCTAAATGAGCTTAAAAATCTCTATTATACCCATTCTTTCCAGCATTGAACCAATTTCACTTAATGTTTTTTATTATCAATATTTTTCCCATTTGGACTGGTTTTAAAAATCATTTTTTCTTTGATTCAACATTGAATTGTCATTTTTAATGTTTTCCAATTCCTCCCTAGCTTTTTTGGGAAAAAATAAAATAACATTGAATTACTACGTATCATAATTATATTCTTTCATTTGGGAGCAAGACAAAATGTGTTCTAGTGGAGAAAGTTTTCAAAGAATTTAAAATATAAAGGAAAAAACTACAAGTTAGAATTTGGCCTCACTTCTTCGGAGTTTTGCTGTAATAATATTATTATAGGATAGAAAGAGTGAACTAAAATCTGATTGATATGATAAAAATGTTGCATTTGTGAAAAGACAATACCCGAGAGGGTGCTGAAATACTATAATAATCCCCTGGAGTAGTGTGATTCAGATCAGTTGCCAGTTCGATGTTCTTTAAGAAAACAATCCAAAAATCCACTCTACTTAATGATTTCACAAAGATAATAAGAGAAGTTCAAGACAACATCGTCGGTTTGAAGTTGTTTTCTTCAATGAAAATCCTTTCACCGTATTCTTCCGCGAAGCTGATGGGGAGAATGCTAGGAATGGTTTGTGGTAAGCATCAGGAAAAAACCAATTAAATAATGTAGATACAAAAAAGATGAAAGGGGAAGGTTGTTCAAATGAATGTTTTCGACATGAAAGATGTTGATGCAAGTTTCTGATATATTTCATGATCTCTTCAACAAATTAGTAGTTCTGCATGTAAAAATTTGTACTTTACATCTTCACTTTGCAACAATTCGAATGTAATTGATTCTGCATATATCAATATCTCTTACTACAAGATGACGGCACACTGAAGCCACTAGTAATAGAGTTGAGTTTGCCACATTTAGAAGGACTAAAGAATGGTGCCACTAGCCTTTAAGAATATACCAACATAGCTACTTAAGATGAAGTTACACAGCAACGCTCACAGACAACAGATTTGCATCCACAAGGATGATTACATTAAACCTAGCTCCTCAAAAATCTTTGCCTACTCGGAAATTTGAAAAGGCGGCTTGTATTCTGGCACAGGCAGCTCTATTTCACAACATCTGGTAGGCTCCACTCCATTTTGCCAACCTATGTAGTTTGCACAGAGACCACATTGGCTAGAGATTATTCCTCTCATCTTTTCCTTGGGCAATTTAGCTTCTGAGGGTTTCTTGTACATAAATCAAGGCATACCACTAGAAAGTGAAGGCCTAATACCTTTAAGGGTACATTCATCTCGGAGCCTTTGATAGAGATTCAGAATACTTGTGTCCTCTGTATATTCATCTAATTCTACCTCTTCATTGTCATATTAGTGCAGGATCTCATCCTCATCACCTTCCTGCTCCTCATCGTCATATTCTTGCAGGACTCTTGCAACTTCATCCATGTGGTTATACCACTTCCGGGAGCTCGTAGAAGGAGCTTTTACTGCATAGTAAGCAAAAACGATAACATTAGGAAGAGGGATGCAATTGAGATTACAAAATCAGAAGTGGCCATAAGATTGAAATTATGATCATTTAGGAAATGCTTCAAAGAACTATATTTTCAAAATTTATACCTTTCTTCTCCAATCCAGGTGAATTCATGGATCATGTAGACTCAGACGATGCAATTGAGATCCCTCCTTCCGGGATATCCTTAACCAATGATTCAGACTTTACATTGTCTGACTCCACAACAAGTGCTTTTTCTCTGGGTGTTTTCTTTTTGTTTGACTTGTCTTTCAAACAAATGCGGCTCTTCCATTAGGCAAAATAGGCCATCGACTAAGGCCTCAGAATTGGGAGGGCACCTGTACGTATGTCTATATATACATATATATATACACGTAATATACATGTAATATATACATATATATATGTGTGTGTGTGTATCTATGTATGTAATTATGAATATAATGTATACGTATATGTATATATATATTAAAAAATTTTAGTATTAATAAACATTGACCAATTGTTAAAAAAAAAATCGACTACTTGACATTCATATATGACTTTCTTTATTTTATAGAATAATTAAAAGGTCTCAATACTTTTTTAAAAAAAATACAAAAAAGATGGGTTTGAAAATGCTATAACTTCAACCATGAAATTGGTGTTAAGATGAACATAGAACCTAAATTTGAAGAAAAAAGTAAAATTCTTAGAAATACGCAGCTTGATGAAAATGTAGAGAATGAAACTATTAGAACCCCTCAAAATATTTTCAAAACTGATTATTTTCTTTACATAGTTAATAGAGTTATCTCAGCACTACGAAGTTGATTGGTTATCTCATCATTACATAATTAAAATGAGCGAAAATTTTTTTTGGTTTTCTATTTAGTTTGAAAAAATTAAAATTATTTGATGACAAAAAGTTAGAAAAGAGTTGTTTTAACCTTCAAAACTCCTTAAAACACAATGATAGTTTAGATATTAGCGATTTAGATTTATTTTATGAACTACAATTTTAAAGAAAAATGTAAATACTAAGAATTATAATCCAATTGACATATTTAATTATATTAAAAGAAATAAATCTTTTTCAAATACTTGTATTGCTTGTAGGATAGTATTAAAAGAAATAAACTTTTTTTTCCCTTTTTTTTGGAAATTCTGTCTTTATAGCATAGAAATCATACATCATTACAGAAAGAGTAATATTTAGGTTTTTTTTTATTAATTAAATGACGATGGAAACACAATTTAACACTATCTGGTTAAACTCCGATCACAACACCTACAAAAACAGATATTCACAAAAACAATGTGTCGGGACACCGGAATTAGAGACCTGATGTATATCAGTAAACAACGTATTATCCCTCCGTCCCATAATTATTGTCCAGTTTAGGTTTTCATTATTAGTTCAAATTATACTTATTAGTTCAAATTATACTAAAAGTGAAATCTCAAATTGGATAATAATTTTGAGATAAAAGGAATATCTATTAATCAAGAACCCTGCAAAACACTTAATAAAGATGAACCAAGAACAATCTTGAAAAGATTAATCACAACGAGGTTGGAAGTTCAACTGTACCAGATAAAACACTCCATTGGCGCCCATCTGATGACAAAATTTCTGTCTTTACAATATCTATGAAAACAAAAGGAGGACAAAATAGATGTGGATTGAGCTGAACTCAACCTAATGATATTACATAATCAGGTACAACAAAAAGAAATCCTACCAACACTTAGCTTGGCCAAACTGGTAAGGTGCTTTAATTCCCTTAAGCGAGGTCTTGAGTTCGAGACTCGTGGATGGAAAAACAATTCTACGAATTCGACTATTTTATACTAGTGACACATCCCATTTGTTCAGAAAGAAGCCGTTCCAAGCGACCAAAAAAACAGACTATTTTACAGTAGAAAAGTAATTTTTTTAATTTGTAGCTTCCTTGTAATCAAATATTTCTCGTTATGAAACGCAGGAAGATAGTAAACATTTCTGATTAATTCAACTAAAAGAATAAAGTGGAGTATTCTTTTGTTTTCTTTTTTCTTTTGACATTTGATCAACCCAACTGAATGGTGAATAATGAATACATTTATGTACATCTCCTACAAGGGGTATACAACCTACATAGGAGAGATAATGATGGGAGAAAAAGAATTGGAATTTCGCTTACGAAATAATACAATCAATGATAGGCAAAAGATGGAGATATGGAATTAGTAGTAGTCTTCAGTTAATAGTACCATCAGGCTAGCTAATTAGTGTTCATGCCAGAAGCCCATCAAGTAGAGGCCTTTCACCTTCTGAATGTCTTCTGTGTAGTCTTCTGTCATGTTTCTGATCTCTGCTAACAAAGTACTCTAAATCAGAACTCGCAAAATATGCCAAAACAAAATGTTGCTTTCCTCTTACCATATAAATCAAAGACCCTCCAACAAGAAAGAGATGCATAAATTAGTGAAACGATATGACATCTAATGAGATGCATAAGCAAAAGAGACTTGCTTTATAAGTTGCCAATGATTTTAGCCAGTAGGTAAATCAGTATGTGGAACTTTTCTTCAGAAACAGATTACTGGACTAGGAGTACCAACTATTGTCATAGAGTTTTTATATGAAAACAGATATTACCATCAGGTAGCCTGACAGGGTTGCTAAATGCAACAAGTGGCAGATGAGAGAACACTCCTCTCGCTTGCATTAATGGAAGAAAAAGCATTGATTAAGTTCAAGTGCGTGATGTTACTCAAGTTTTTGAACTTCAGAAATGCAATTTCAGGTAATAGTAGGCTGGTAGTAAAATAGATGGTTAAAAGCAGGATAGAGACCTTACACTGGTGGATTGGAGCTCAACGGCAGCGGAATCCTCAGCATCCTGCAATTTAAACCACCAATGATTATCCAAAGCTAAGATATAAACTGAAAAGCATTTTCTGTAAAAATAAATAAATTAGTGCAGGTGAATTACCTCAATTAGTAAGTCTTTTCTTGTTATCATGCCAATAACACGGGAAGCACGGGGAACAACAAATATATGCCTTAGCCCAAGTTGACGGAAAAGATTATAAACCTAGTAACCAACCAAACATTGATTAGAAAAGATACACAATGCCGAATCAGAGAGTAATAAAAATAGCACCAAACATTCAAGTATAACTGTGTATAACAAGGGAAGTTATCACCTTTGATAATGACATGTCTTCAGGTACAACGTAGGGAGATGGATTTACAAACGGAGCAAGATCAATGTACATTTCCAGATCATCTTGACTTAGATAAATATCATCAATCGATAATCCTTTACTAGAAACAGGCTTCACAAATTCACTCAGATTATGCCTGCACGAAAAGGGTCCTTTAAATGATGAATATCAACAGAAATTTAATTATGACGTATTATCAAAATCCTGCTTTACCTGATTGGCAGGGTACCACCCACATCACCAGTCAAAGGACTATGTTGAAAATCAACCTTCGATTGTAGAAGCACCAACAAATGACTACATCACAGAAAACATGCAAGCTTTAGTTAATTACTTTATTCAGCGATACAGCCCATTTTGCAATAAGCTTTTCAAAAAGACGTAGCACCAAAATGAAACAGTGAAAATACAGATAAATCTTTAACCTTCTCAATATGAGGCCAATCACAAGCGTTTCCCCATTCCTAGTGTGATCAATAACCTGGATAAACAGAGCAAAATATATTACTAAAAAGTCACATGAAAGTTCTCCTGAAGAACACCAATTGATACCTCAGACTTACAGGGAATCCATTATGAAGATTACTCCTCAAGATAGAAACAATGTCAGAAACCTTGACAACACGAGGAAAGTATACAACCTGCAGGATAGAAGGCAACACCATCTCTATGTATTATGCGAAGGCAAAGGAATGACAATAAAATACAAATCGGAAAGCAATGGCTCTCACAATTCAAAGATATTGTATACAAAGAAACCATAGTCAATTTACAATTTTTCATATCCAAAACACAAAAATTTTCTCCATTCACCAGAAATGCATCTTTTTTATCAGCAAAATCAGAGTTAAGGTCAAGTTACTCTTTAATGACAACAGCTATACACAAATTTAACAGAGAAAAATACAAAATGTTTGATGCCAAACAAGAAAACAAACACTTCAATTTATAAGCCAGGCCAGCATTACCAACATCAAAAGTGTCGAACAAAGGGAATGAATATCTTTAGAAATTCAAAGGGCATCAACCTTCTGATTTCCACATGCATCCTTTGCTGTCATACTTCGCATCTGGTATTTTGGTCTCGATTCAAGTAGCGGAATGCCTCTTAACCGAGCTTGTTCCTCGTATAACCCCTCATTAAAAGCATCACCAACTGCCTGCACAAAGCAATTTAGTCAAATTTAAGTAGACTTGTAGAAATGACAGATGATACAGCAACACCTTCGCTGCTTTACCTTTGATATTAGAAGAACAAGCATGATAAGAGGCAAGAGCTTTAAGTTGTTCGTGATTTCCACCATGATGACACATAGAGAGACTGTCATCCTCATGGAACCTCCAAGAAATGAAGCAGCGCCAAGCAGAGCATACCTGGATACAACAAGTTCAGATAACTTATCAGGGGCAGAGTAGAATGAAATAGCCAAGAATCACAAAAGCCCCACACTCAATCTTCATATGATAGGTCCAGTACAAGAATATTTGCATTCTAAAAGTTCTCCAGTGTCATGGCAAAGCTAGTAGAAAATATACATTATTCAGATTCTAAAGAGATCCATCAGCAGAAGGAATCCCAACCATTTGTTTTGGAATCTGTGAATGTTACAACAATAACGCTGGAATGAACAGTTGCATAGAACTGTAAAGCAATAAAAGACTCACGTTCCCTCTTCGATATTCAGCTTCTTGTAGAAATTTACAACAAACATCCCAACTAAGCGTCCATAGGTTGACCCAATCATTATACCAGGAACAAATTGACCAGCAGGAACTGCAGTTCCAAAGGTTACCACCGCTAATGCATAGAACATAACCTAAGCCCAAAAAAAAAAAAAAAAGAAACAAATCAGTCTCACCCACCAGTTGTGCAGATTAAAATGCAAGAAGAAATTTCGTATTGTTTTATCCAGGCTAAAATGCCAGTTTTTATCAAGCACATAAATCAAATGCAGATATGAAGTGCTCATCAGATCTTAAAAACTCCCAGAAAAATAACTAAACTTCGCATGAGAGAAGTTCTGTTATAAACTCAGATTATAACCATTTCACCGAATACCATCCTCCAAACTTAAATGATTTGAAAATGAAATTCAATGTGTTATGTTGCTATTATAATTGGCAAAAGAGCACTAATATGAACCATAGTATTTGCTTGCCCAAGCTTTTCAAAATAAGCGATGCTAAGAAAGAGAGAAACTTCTAAATTCATCTTCAAAAAAATGCCAATAAGCAGGAAATTAAAAGAAAAAAAGATATAATACCAAAAATGTCAGGAGGCTCTGTGCACTGAACTCGTGAATTGTCTTTGCACTAAACAAGTTCCTAATAGCATCATCCTGCAAGGCATACCTTAACAAATTAAGCAGAGCAATTGAAGATGAACTGTTGCTGCACATTATGTGCATTGGAGAAAGAGTGCAATAGTCAGGAAAGGAAACCAACCTGAGTGTTAAAAAATATGGTTGCAAGGTCATTGTATTCCTTTTTACTACTGCAAAAGAACTGCAGACAGAAAAGTCCTCACATTAATGGCGAAGAACATTAGTGGATCCCAAATTGTGCGCATATCAAAATTTAAAAGTCAGGTTTAAACCAGCGCTGTTACCCTAACCCTAATTAGTTTTTCATGTATAAATTATCTACTCCCTCTAATCTATTGTAAGAACACATGTAACACATGTTACACATCATTCTCTATTCTGTTAATCTCAATTTTTGTCCATGTTTGAGCACCAGAGAGCTGATAGCTGCTGTATATAATTCCCCTTCCAATCTCTCAGTGGGAGTATTAAAAAGTATAGAGGCAATTCTTCATTTGTTCCATAAATAAGAACTTTAAGATCAGAGAAATTCTTACATTGACATAATTTCCATACATTCCAGGGGCACGTGGACACTCAATGCCAGCATTAATATCAGCTTCGGGGCATGGAGTGCATTTTCTAAACAGTGGTAACCCAAATGAGATAGCAGAGGTGATCACAGAGATGAGACACACTTCAATGATCTGGGAGATAACCATCAAATTGTGAGATTGCCATTATTTATGAACTTAATTTCAAAAGAATAAGTAAATCTATCAGCAGACATTCCCATAGCTGACTAGACAATATCAGAAACTTACTTTTACACGGTTTCCCTTCTTGTGCAAATAATTCCGACGCCAATTAGTTATATAGAGAGTAAGTTGATTAAATAAAGCCCCTGCAAAAAAAAAAAAAGAAAGATCAGAAATTTCAAATGCTACATTCATTCTGAATGCAAGCGTATGCCATCAATTTATTGCGCTTACCAAGAAGGCCACCAATTACTCCAATAACTGCCATCGGCAGTAACTCCATAAATGAATAGTCCTCTTGCCCACTATAACATTCAAAAGTAATTTCTCAGCTAAACAAATTAATCGGAGATAGATAGGATATTTGAACCCAAAGTTCAGATCCTTACTCAGAGACATCCCAGATAATAAAGCCTCCTGATCCAAAATGGCCACATTTTCCACTCCTGCACCAACCCATAGCAATACGCACAACAACAGCCACAATTGCAGAAGTAAAGAACACACGCCACATAAGTTGACTTCTCCACCTATAATAACATAGAGGAAAATGATTAACACAGCAACTGAACAGTGTAAGTCTGATTTAAATTTTTCCAGTAAAATTCAGCAATGATTGAAGTTAAAAAAGAAAGGAAAAAAAAAAGAAAAAAAAAAGAAGAAGTTATGATTGAAGGGAGCATAGGTGCTGCAGTAAGAGCAGCTGAGGAGTAAGGAAACAAGTTCAAATCACAAAAAAGAGTCTTATAAACAGAAGATAAGACAGACCAAATTAGGTCCATCAGAATCCCCTCACACACAGGCTGCCAGTAAAGTTTCGGCCGTTTCTCAATCATGTTACACCTATTAGATGAGAAGCTGTGCAGAAAGACATTATTTATTCAATTCTCACCTTCCTCTACCCTTTTAAACTTCAACCCATCACTGTTTAATAGATCACCAGTTTCTCTTATTTCTCAGCACAGTGAATGAATTGGAGAAAGAGAGGTAAGAAAGGGGGATTGTGCCCTCCAACACCCTTCTTACTTCACCCTGGCGTGTCTTATCAACTATTGCTATTATGTTATTTTCCAGTTAACTGATATGTTATTTTCTAAGATAACATAGGCACGACAGAAAACAGGACCCAAAAATCAGATACAAAGCTAAATTTGATAAAGCATCGAGCTATATGGTAAATTGTCCAAAATAAGACGGAACAAAATGGGCATACCAAGATGTCACTTCTTCAAGTGCAAACAACACACCACCAACTGGAGCTCTGAAAGCAGCGGCAACTCCTGCTGCACATCCACAGGTTACCTTTTTGAAACATTAAACCAATTAAAATGAGCACATTTCAGAGGTTTTCACCTCTTCTCGCTGTTTGCATATAAAAAACAACTTCCTTATCATTGAATCAACATCATCAAAAGTTACATTACCAGAAGCATAATCAGCAGAAGGAAATTTTAAAAATGGAACTGTAGTCACATAAATCATGCGTAATGATACAGCAGTTAAGAAAACACCAATATGAATGACGGGTTTCAAAAAGCAAGGATCTTCATTAACTCAAGGGTGATTGAACAGATTTCAACTGCTAATTTTAAACTTCCATATAAATGTGCATCTCAAGATGAGAATAATGAAAATGCAAAGATCGATATGTTTAGAGAAGCATAATAAAGTTGAACATATAGCTCACTCACAATCCCCAGTGCTCCCGACAGTTTTTTGTACTCAAATAACTTAGCCATTCTATCCTAAAAATAACTCATGAATTTGCAACAGTAAATAAGAAAAGAATTCCATTCTGAAGCTGTTATTGTCACAAGCACAAGTACTCTAGGATTTCATTTCATCAATAAGCCAAATGCTCTCACTTTACACTCATTCTACATGTTATACAGAAGCAACGAGTTAGCTTCGGCTTCTATTGTGCCAGAAGAATGTGAACTGAGTTTTGAACTCATTGCTGTTTATGGTCAAAAGGCACTAATACACTGATACAACTACTGGAATCACCAGACAGTTTTCACACATCCACCTAATTGCAAAATCAATGAACCATGACAGCATGCAAAACATAAAGGACCAGACAAACTCACATAAGAAGCCTTCTTTAAAAATCAATAACTTACAAGATCACGGCGATCTCGTTCACTATTGAACACCTGCAGCCACCTTGAGCTTAGATGATACTTAGTTGATCCACCCTGAATTCCAAGAAGTAACATTTGTTTAGAATGAAGCTAGAATTAGTAACGTTTTGCATGAAACTTCAAGCAATATAAAGGAAAATCAAAGACATGTGAGTCGAAGAATAAGCATAATATGACATGACTACTGCATGATGGCAAGTAAGAATTTTGCATGTGAAATTGCAGCATGAAAGAAGACACTCAAACACCATATCCATTCTCTGATTAAACTTACTTGTCCGAGCAAAGAAGCAATACAAGCACCAGTATGTACAAGTGGACCTTCTTTACCCAGAGCCAGACCACCTCCCACTGAACCTATGCTACCAAAGATCTACCACAGAAAGAACGAAAAAATGTCAAACTTCGGACTTCCACACCAAGCAAAATTAAAGCATGAGAATAACAGCAACCTTTCCAATCAATGTTCTGAAAAGAAGAATTCCTCGTGTGTCGATTCCTGAAACGGCACAATTAGTTATTACCACACTCCCGAATAAAACAATTCAATAAGATAAAGTTAACACATCTAAAAGGCTGAAACACCTGGCTAGCATAGAGAAAATTACCATTCAGGTAACCCTTAATTTCAGGGATCCCAGATCCAGCTGCTGCTGGAGCAAAATGTGTAATAATATATACAGAAGACAATACTAGGGCTAAGTTGAACAATATGTATACGACAAATCCAGCAAAGTATGACTTTTGTATTATGCTAAAAGTCAATGAATACTTCCATCCTGCAAAATTCTCTACAGAAATATTGATGAAAACAGCAGCAAATCCAGTGCCTGAAAGATAACAAGAAAAGCAAAGTTACACTAAAGGAGAACCTAGAGCATATGATAAAGCATTCAAAATTTTGCGAACTACAAGACAGGCCATCACAATAATTCAAAAAGTCCACCAAAGTCTCTAATGTTCCATTTTTGCCCAACTTGTTTGCCTTCCAAAACGATCATCAGATAGTAAATATCCGGAAAAAAAAAAAAAGATTGAGACTGTATTGGACATTGTCTATGCTACTATAAGATACTAGTTCGAATGCATGACTAACATTTTACTCAAGTAACAGCGACCTAATTTAATCATTTTATAAGCTAAACATGGCGCTTGCTCGTATCAACTCAAACGAATAGGGAGACAACAAAATCAGAATGCAAAAAATCCGAAATGATGGGCCAAAAAACTCACCAATCCCAATTAACAACGCGAAGAACCATTTTACTCCTACTGCATAGTACATGTAAAGTCTCCCCCTTTGTGCCTGTCAATCCCAAAAATCAACAAAAGAATATATTAACGAACAAAATCATACAGGAACTATGACAAGAATTTGAGCTAAGTAAAACCCAGAACAAAAGAGGCTAAAAACCTGCTCTTCTCTATATGCATAATTCTCGATCACTTCATAGTCAAGACTCTCCACCGTGCCACCGTCAGTCTTCTTATACATTCCAATATTACCTTCCGAATCGTCGTCGTTCGGAAGCCGCGACCACAGCAGCTTCGCCGTCTCCATTCCGTTCTGAAATTGATTCGACAACATCTCTATTAGAAAATAAAGCTCGAGCCGAAATTCAATCCGACGAACTCCTCATCTGCCTCAACGACGCCGCTTCAAATCCCCTGAATCCGGAATCAAGATAATCTCTCGGCAACTGTGTCCAAAAAACAGATCGAACGATCGAATCGAAATCGTATACTTTGTGGCTTCAAATTCGATTGGCTGATGAAATTAAGTATTGGAAAATTTTCGCTTGTGAAGATCGAAATTGCTTTTGCTTAGCCAAAAAGTAGTTGGAGTTGGAGGAGGAGATGTTCCGTCTTCTGTTGTGCGTGTGGATGAAGGTGTTCCAGTGCGTGTTTTTTCTTCGTTTAGTAAAATTTTGGTCAAATTATTCGTTCACTCAATGAATGTCACCGTTTTTAAGTCAATTTTGTAAAGAATTTTAGCAAACTTTATTATATAACCACACAGATAAATTGACTTAGATTTATACACCACATACAGAAAAATTTTACTAACAATAAGTAGTGAACTATAATTTGATAATAAAGTTATAAAATCAACGTATTGCAATTTTTGTTTCGTTATTATTTTTGTTTCTATTATTGCAGGACGATTTAGACTAGTTAATGTAATAATTTATTAAATATTCCTTCCGTCTCAAAATTATTATTCAGTTTGTGTTTTCAATTTTAGTTCAAATTGTTCTGAAAGTAAAATTTTAAATTGGACAACAAACCTGAGTCAGGAGGAATAGTTATTTTTAAGAAGGAAAAAAAAAAAAAAAAAGAAGAAGTGATGGAGATGTATTAAAGATTAATGAAAATTTTATTTCAAAAAATAAAGAAGGTGGAAAGAAATTATCCTTAATGTTATTTGAAGTCATCTTTGATTCTCATCTCAAATGCCCATCATGTGAAATCACATTGAAGAATAAAAGACGAGTAAAGCACTAAGAAAATGGAGTAAATAGATGAAAGCACTAACGTATAGTGGTGTGAAATACAGTCATTAGGACAGTGTCACGATCACAATTAAGAACCAAAGGTTCTCATGTTTTTCTTTTGTTAATAAAGTCGGGAAAAAAGAAAAAAAAAATTTGAAAAGCTGACCCAGAAAATAACTACACCAGAAAACATACATTTTTGACTCCTGCGTTCTATAAATCAATGTTAATTCATCCCACTATCCCATCACCATAGCTCGAAATGCGTGTTTGTTTGGACGTCAGCTTACATTTCATTTTGCCACTTAAAAATGGAAAGTGTTTTAAATTGAAAACTAAATGGGAAATGAAAATGTTGTTTGAATGGTATTTCGAGCGAAAAGTTTTTTGGATGTTGGTTTTGAAAAAAATATTTTGAACTACATTTTGAAAATATCAAGTACGAGTCATCACTAAACAATTAAATACTGTCAATTATAATCACTTTAAAAAAGAACTTTTTCAAAAATAATTACTAAACAACGGAAACTTGGCAAATTTGTCATTTAAAGATTTTCCTTTGTTAGATTTCGTCACTGAACTATTTGTAGTTCAAAAATGGTCATTACACTAACAAAAAGTGTTTCAAGTTAGAATTTAAAATGTAAATCAGACCGTTGTTTGGATGATGTTTTCTTTTCCATTGGATTTTGTGTTTAAGAGGTAAAATGAGACAAAATGCAAAATGGAAGATTGGCCAAATAAACTTGTAACTTTATTACTATCCACGACTTATAATAAGAGGCTTATTTTTGAAACCGAGAAATAATTTATCGTGCATTTTCTCAAACCTTTTGAATATCGTGTTAATTTGTCTTGTTGCAATAAGGATACGGTTAATTTATGAAACTGAAACGAGCTCAATACTGTACAACAAAAGTGATTAAAGTAATGATCATGTACACACACACACACACAAGTACAATTTTGTATACTTAGGTACATTAATGTATGAGTTCTTTCCTACAAGGCTACAAACTATACAGTCTGGAAAGATGATCTCTGCTGAATAAAGTCTGAAAGTTCATAATGTCATTTTCTGGGAATAGGAATCAGAACTTCCAAGTTCGGTGTACATGTCTGATATCGCTTTAGCAAAGTATTCTTTCGCCTGCGGTCTTTTGATCTGAAATTGAATGGAACCATAAAGATTATATAGAGCTTTTACCACTTTGTTTACTTAACTTGCTTTCAATGCTGCATTTTCTTTCATACTGTTGTCAAATCTGTTGTGCTTACCTTGAAAGTCGGCGTGAGCAGACCGTTTTCTAGAGTGAAAGGTTCGAGTGTCAAAGTCACTGCTTTCGCAAACTCAAATCCCCTCAGCTGCGCATACAAGTTATGGTTGAGGAACTAAACCATAATGTGAAGAACTGATGAATGAAATAGTAGTACCTGAGCTGCTTTTCCAGCGGCATCCAGATCAGCCAGGACAGCTGCCCTTGTTCTTTTATCATTACACAGCTGCTGCAAGTCTTCATACTGCTTCCAAAAAAAAAAAAAAAGGATTTTACGACAGAATCATAACATAGATACTGCAAAATGCAAGACTGTACTTTCCTTTTGATCACCAATCACAAAGCTCGGAGTTTTCAAAATGTGTGTGCAGAGAAACGATTCATCAAGTGAGCATGAATAGAGACAGATGTAATCTTCATCCTTGTTTTGTTAGAGTTATATGTAGTCTCACGAGTCATTGCATTATTAGTAATACATTCTTTATTCCATTTTGAGATAGAGAAGCCATTATGCTTGCTCTAAGAATATGACCAAAACCGGACCTTATGAAACACTTCTTTTGCTCTTTGATTCGCAAGGTTTTTGGCCTGGAGCATTACCTTAACACCTTGAGATGCAGCCCATGCTTTGATATTATCTTGCTCAACCGAAACAATGACTACCAGAGAGGAATTGAAGCTGTCACCTGCCAAAATTAAGCAAGTGACCCATGGTGCCCAAACACACACACACACACACAGAGGAGGCGTCTTTACCATACACAAAGCACTGGGAAACAAACTTGCTTGTTGCATATACGTTCTCGATTTTTTCAGGAGCTATGTATTCACCTTGGGCCAGCTTAAAAATATTCTTCTTCCTGCCATGCAACAACTAAAGGTGAACCAACTTAAGAGGTTGAGTACATATGGGGATATAATTCCCAAACCTTTAATCAGATTTCTCAAACTAGACTGATCAACATTTTTTCAACCTTGAGCGCAACTAATACTACAGACAAAAGACACACCAACCAGTAAAGAAGGAACTTTTCTGCAAAAGTTTCTATCAAGGAAAACTGCAAGACTCTGTATGTCTCACCGATCAATTATCTTCAAACGCCCCCCAGGCAGCCATAGTCCTATGTCTCCTGTGTGAAGCCATCCATCTTCATCAATCACTTCTCTCCTGGCCAAGCCAATGACAAAAAGTTAAAATTGCAGTTTGAAGAACTCGCTGACAATGTACTCGCACAGGTGGACAGAAACTGAAGAAGATAGCAGAATAACACATACGTCTGTGCTTCATCTTTATAGTAGCCTTGGAAAACAATTGGTCCCCTGACGCAGATTTCACCTCGTGGATATGGCTGATCGTCAGATGTATAGTTCATTTCTGGAACATCTGCCAACTTTATTTCTGAAACAGAAGGAGATGTAAATGACCCTCAGAATCAACATAAGAATGCAGTAAACGTTTATAGTTCTCACCACATGCAGGGTTAGGTGCACCCACGTGACCAGATAAGAGATCATTCTCATCCATGTTGCTTATCACACAAGATGTCTCAGTCATTCCATATCCTTCGACAACCTGACATCCAAAGCAACTGCAAGAAATACAATTGTCACGATCACAAATCATCAGGTAGATAGCAATGAAGGACTTCCGGATGTAAATATTCAAGCAAGGAGCAGTAAGCATACACTCGCAGGAAGTCCATGACATCAGGAGACAATGGTGATGCTCCTGAAACCATATAGCGCACTCTACCTCCAAGCGTTGCTTTCAATTTATTAAATACTAACCGATCCCACATTAGGGATGACTTCTTTCCTGAAAAAAGGAACAGGGAACACCAATTGTCAGAAAGAATGGCAGATTATCTGAAATTTCCTCAAATTCAGGCCCAAAACGGTGCTACAGATAAGCAGTCATTAATTAACCAAAAAAAAAAGGGAAATAAATTGAAACAAGGGTAGGATCCAGTGTCAAATCGGATAAAGGAAATAAATTGAGACTCACGATTAAATATTGCTTGCTTTTTAGCATTATATGCGGAACTAAACAGTCTCTGTTGCAAAGGACTAGATGACTTTACTGCATTAGTGATTCTGCAGGAAGAAAATAACTTGAGTCGACTGCTGAATGATCATAATGTATTTCCACTAAAGACGACTTTAGGAAGCAAGAAAAGATTCTTACCCAGCATATAATTTGTTGTATACTCGAGGAACACTGCAAAATATAGTGGGTTTAAGAAGAACCAGATCCTCCAGCAACTTCAGATGATCCTGCAAAAACAAGTTTAAAAGAAAATCATGCTCACGACTGTTCGACTGGACTTCATGTTGTGGTAAATGTAACTACAGCAAAATTATGATTGCCAAAACATAGAATTTCCAGATTTGACTACATGAGGTTCATCAAAAGTTTAGTAAGCTACTGTAGAAATGTTGCCATCTCACTGCAAATAAGAAATAATTATACCATGTATGCACTGTACCACAGAAAATTTTCTTTCTTGAGTATACCGCAGAAGACAATAGCAGGATTGAGCAACAGATTTTCAAGACACTTAAGGACACTATTGTAGATTTGACAAAAGAAAATATGCTGTTGGATGACATAAAAGCATGGTATATATGTTTTGGAAATGCTCCCAAAGAAATCTGATAAAGAAAATGCGCCGGTGTTAACTCTCTTACTCCTTGATAGAAACCAACGGCTGATCCATAATGCACCATCAGAACTTGGTTGGCCCGCTCGTATATGTGTGCCAGAGGAAGGTATGAGGCATAACTGTCAAGAGGCAAAAAAATAAAACCTTTATCTCCTACCATACTGAAAAAACAAAGACAAAACATGGGAAAGCAAAATTAACAATCAACTTTGTCAAACTATCTTCTACTCACATATCTGAAGGATATAATACAATACCAAAGGTAGCACCAGCCACGTTTGCAATCAAGTTCCCATGAGTCAAGACAACACCCTAACAACATTGTAGAAAAACAAGAAGATTTTCTTTCGGCAATAAATTCAAAGATATTAACCAATTTATGACAGAGAGAAAGAAAATCCTGATATAAAATAGAAAAATCGAACCTTTGGTGTCCCAGTTGTACCACTTGTATAGCATATGGTAGCAATATCATCAGGCTTAGGAGCACTGAAAGGCCGAAGATTGGCAAGTCCCTAAGAGATTATAAACGATTTCATAGAGTCAACAAAAAGAATAAACAACGTAATCATGCCTTTTGATACGCCAAACTTCCAGGGGAATGAGAGGATTCAAGTTCACCTCAGTAAGAAATTTTGAGTATGATATGATTTTCCTTCCAGTTGTTGATGACAACAGTGGGAATTGATCATCTGTACCTCCAACTACCTATAATTATAGAAACCAAAACTGCGGTAAATCTGGTGAAATTGATGCCAAATTCTATAAAGCAACCAAGCTCCAACATTTTGTGGGTGATGATTTTGCTTTTCTTTTTTGGTAAGGGACGGAAAGGATTTGCTTACCACAATTAGACGTACTGTTGGAATCTCTGGTAAGAAGCGGACTAACTGTAATTCCAACAATGGGTTAATGAGAAACGCAAAACATTACTGCAACGGACAAAAAGACAGATATTGCTTCATCCTTTAATCCTATCAGAACAACTTTTCAGGCCTTTCCAGTAGAAGTAGAATTTAATCTCTTGATAAAATAAATAAATCTGAAAGCCTGAAATAAAGAACTTAATCGTATAAAGAAATCATCTTTTAAATAATGCAGACGATTTCAATGTGAAAACTAACAGTGTCAAATGTCTGTGGCACACAAAATATAGCTTGTATTGATGCGTGATTCGCTATATATTTGACAGCCTCTGGTCCTGCAGAGCAAAAAGCAAAAGGGTCGCCCTATTAGGATCCATGATTCTTGGAGATAATCCACCTGAATTCATGAAGTTACCAATCACATACCAAGAGTATCATATAGAGGAACTGAAATAAAAGAATATGCTGAGCAAGCATGATCAACAATCATCCATTCTGGCCTGTTGATGAAGTATAGCCCAACGCAAGAACCCTGCCACATTTGAAACAACTTGAATAATCAGGCAGCAAAAGAAAAACTTCAAGACAACACAACTATTTTCCTCCTCTATTCACTATCAGTAGTTAAAAGTGGGTTTGTGTCACCAACCTTCGGTACCCCATGGCATACAAGGCCTGAACCAATGGCTGATCTTGCAGTGCTAACTTCACCATATGTGATCCACTTGTAGCTGTGAAATTGGAGCCAAGTAAATAGAGGTTTCCCTAAGAAAAAGAAATGAAATTCCATTTCAGAGTACCTACTCTCCAACTTTTCCATCATCACGAACGCGTGTGCCAAGGTACTTGTGGTCAGGAAAAGACTTTGCAGCATGCCTGCATGAACAAATGTATGATTAATTAAATACACAAGTTTTACCACTCAAAAAGAAGTATTCGAGGCGAACGTTAACTGGAATGAATGAATTGGGAAATGCTTACACAAAATTGTCGTGCAAAGTAGCAACTTCTGGCTTATTAGAAAATCTGGTAACAAGATTTAGCGGAGAACGCGCTGATCTGCAAATAAAGGAACAAATTTTTGTAATGTCAGATCTACAGGTTGAGATGGTTAACAACCAGAGAAGAGCTCACCTATAAACATTCCATTTCCCTGTCTGCAATTTCTCAGGAAGAACAACACTGTAACCCTGCTCTATCAGATTTTAAGGCCAACAACGAACAACAACAAGAGGAGACAAAAACAATAGTTAGGACACTGAACAGAGATAAAAATATCAAATATGACAATTAAAACGAGAAGAGGTATTAGGCTAATCAGCAAAAATGGAACTGGAGCAAGTACAACCGTCAGCGAACAACTATACTATGATCCCTTACACCAACATTAGCAGAAACTGTGTAAACAAGGAGTATTGATGATAACTAAACATGAGTTCCTTCCTGGTGATTTTGACATGCTGACTGACCAAGAAGACCCCGGAACTAGTTTATTTCCATTTACCATATTTCTGTTTTATGCAGTTGAATATGGATCTTGAATAAGCCCAAAGCAAAGCTTAAAAAAATTTTGGTATCTGCTGCTTAACACAAGAATAATTGAAAGGTTCAATACAAATATAAAAGAGCAACAATGTGAAATCATAGAACAACTATTTCGACAGGACCATAACCACATTTCTCTGATCAGGAAACTAGATGGACTACAATAATAATTGGAAAACAACACATTTCCTAGTTCCAAAATTCTGGGAAAAAAGCCCGATTTAATCTTCCATCACTTTCTGCAACCAAGTCATTGTAGAGTTGACAACAAGTACAGAGACCTAAATTTAAGGTTGAAAGACAGAAACTTTTGTCCTTAATTTGACTGATCACTTACTCCAGAGGATAGCACCTAGACTAATCACCCTTCAATTTGCAAAAGTAGTGTCAAAAAATTCAACAAGAACGACAGTGAAGAATCAGGAGGACGGAGGACCCCAAGTGAACCTAAATTAAAACTACTCAAAACAATCATTTTCCCCCAGATTTTTTTCCCCCTGTTTGCAATGAACTAGTACAATACAGAAACATGCAAAGTGATACAAAAAGGGTGTACCAGAAACAAACTCGCCGGAAGTAGGATTTGGCCGGAGAAGGGCTGCCGGAGTACTGCCTGAGGACGGGTTCAGATGGTTTTGGAGAACCTCAAGCCGACTTTCAGCAACAACTCTTGCCATTACTTAAAGCACAAAAAACAAGAGTACGCTAAACACAAAAAAAAAAAAAAAAAACTCTGCACTGCAATTGATTTCAGTCAGACTTTAATGTTACAGGTGCATGGCATAAGAAATGAACTTGTTCATACTTTCCTTTAAATTAACGCATTTAAATTACGATAGGATTTGATAATGACAACAAATGTAGGTTCATGATAAAACTTTTGAGGACTGAAGAACAAAACAAATTAACGTTGATACTTTGGAGAATGATTGTTCGTCTGTATTATGATTAGTTTAAAATTAAGTTCAAATAAGTTGATCAAAATATACCAATTCTTTTACTTGGATTGTTATTGGTGATCGGAGGAACATGAAATGGGATATGCTTCCTTAATTCTGTGTTTACTACGTCTTGTTTGTTACAACTTTGTTTGTCCGTGCCGGCTCGTACAAGCAACAACAACATTAAAGCACTTTGTTGTACGGTTGTATCTGTACGTATTTATGATCAGACATACAGCAAAAAAATAATAATAATGATGAAATTGAAAAAGGTTTGATCAGCTGGGTTTACAAGATAATGTGATGAACACTATTTTCCGGTACAATAAATAGTAGTACATAGTAAGTTTAGTAGTACATAGTAAGTTTAGATCAAATTACCACATTTCTAGTGGGATGATGAACAACACTTTCCTTTCAAACTTACTACAACAACACTTTCCTTTCAAACTTACTACAACGACCAAACGTTCGAACTTCGATGAGAACACAAAACCTTGTCAAATAACTACGGTCGTTCTTGATTCGACTTGTGAGAAAAATGAATTCCCCATGTAAGAACATTGTTCATTTCTTCTGATGATCCAAACTTGCATGAACACATGAAACGTTATCAACGTAACAATGATCCCGTGATGGGTACTTGATTCGCTTTATAACTTCTAGATTCTGTCTCCAACAACTATAACTGGGAGGTTCAAGAGTTTGTTTTGCCCTTAGTGTATTTTCGGATGGACATGATCATGAGTTGCATATTATCAATCTTCTCTTGTTTGTTGTGTTAAAAATAGTATGAAATGCAATATTCATTTTGTGACAGAAAGGATACGTTCAGTGGTATCATGCATTGTTTGGTGGAGTTTACAACTCCCAACTCTGTTTCACAAGTATTAAAAGATATGAAAGCAATTAGGATGGGCAGATGGGGGGATAGATGTCATTCTCAAACTACTCTTTCAAGATCTGGAAAGAAGTTGGAAACTCCATATTGGTTGGCATTTCCTTTTTAAGCACAACCCAGAAAGATGAAGGAACACGTGAATGAGTGTAAATACACCTTTCATTGACTGAAATCCGAACTCTAAATAGCTCAAAAATGTGTATCGTGCACGTCTACAACCGATCAATTTACTTGGACGAATGGCATCTTACTCTAAAACCATGTCTGATGCTCATCCGCTGACAAATTAATTTTACTACAATATAGACTAGATTGAGTATTTGATTGCGCCATTTTATACAGTATGAAAAGCAGATAAATGCTGTCAAAGATTATAACATAGTTTACCATCTTCTTCCATCTTCTAAAGTACTTCCACCAACTGCTGGGCAATATCTGCATGGCAACAAAATATGAAAATAAATTTAATATTAAGTTAATTGGATGAAAATCCAAAAAAAAAAAGGAACATGCCACATAGCCCAATATTCAAAAGATATGTGGAAGCATCCATAAGAACGGTAAGCAATGATATTTTTTACACCCCAATCCGTTAATTGGAAACTGTATTTTGATATTTTAAACAATTTTGCCTTTTAATGGCTGCTGATACATTAAATTCCCAAGCATAAATGCATAAAAGATTGAAACTATTTTACGTACCTTTGAGCACATGTGCAGGTGTTTCAAACTCCTTCCAAACACTATGGCCTGAAGCAAGATCCATGTGCAACATCTTGGCAGCAAGATAGGCAGCACCGGCAGCAATCTGTTGTGGCTTGAACTGAAGCCAAAGTGAGCTTCTGAGCCTGGAAAAATGTCAATCTTTCAGATAAGAATATGAAGCATCCAAATCACTTTTCAAGTTGTTCTGTATATAAATGAGAAAAAGGCCATGTGAAAACAAACCATCTGTTGCAATATGCTAGAATAATCATCACACATTCAACGATGGACACTTGAAAACCAAACATAGGCATACCTTAAAATCAATTTAGAATTACTCAAATAGGTTAACAACATCATAGAAAGTCAACGAAAAGCCTAAACAAATTAACCTTACCAACACCAAACTAGCAGCAACTGAGTGGGGGAAAACCCCAAGAAACTTCTGCAGAATGTTGATATTGTACCAATACATAGCAAATATGATAAATCCACCTATCCAGAAAATGAAGACCTCTGTTGCGGCAGTACCAACTCCAGAATACAATGCATACATCAAATGACTGAGTAAACAGGACAACACTATTTGCAACTCGCAAGCATGAATCTTCTGAATGCAAGGCCAATATCTTCTGCTCTTTATTGAGAATTCAAAACTTTCTGTTTATAATACTTTGTTTGTAAATAGCAGCTTCGACAGTATGAGTTTATTGCTCCTGATGCTGGACAAAATAAAGCTTAAAAATGGGGGAGGGAACTCCGTAAAAGCAAATTTCCCAAGATTCATACTTGCCCTCATCCACAAGATATGCTTCTACTCAGCAAGATAGTTAACGCCAGTATAAAGAGTCAGAAACCACTTGATACTAGAACTTGCTTAGCCCAATTATATCCAAAATGATTGATACAGGTGAATTTAAGCTTTTTCTTTAGACATCCTGTGCTGATACTGTAGTTAACATTTACAGAATCATAACACAGATTGAACACTACGGATCTAGGAACCATAATAACCTTATACTATAACAAAAGGTTCTATGGTTTTGTTCAGTTAAAAAAGGCACTATCTTTTTAGACAAAATCCAAAAATGGATGTAATTTAGACACATAAAGGGACTATCAACATGGCTAACCCGAAGAAAGTAAATGCTCTTCCTTCCTTTACCAAATGTTGAACGGAGAGGTATTTGGGAAGAAGTTGGATCAGAATTCAAATTGGAGAAAGAGGATCCTGTCTCAGGTACCTGGTTTATTAACAGCAGTAATGAACAAGGCCCAAATGGCTTTTCCTGATAAAGGTATCGATTACTGATCCAAAAAAAGGAAAGGCAGGTAACGGTTTTCAAAAAAATTGGCATTTAAAAGGTTCCTATATATCTTAGAGATTATCTCCTGAAGTATTTTTTCAGCCCCCAACTAGTCCTCCTAATCACATCCAAATAAGTAACAATGTGCTAACGGAGATTAAGTTAGGATTATTTTTAAGCCTGAAACATGATGGCTGAATCGGTTCAGTAGCATCCACAAAAAAGCATAACAACTTCAGATGGAAACAAAAGATTGTGTGCACAGCATATCAACCGCCAGCTAAGAATATTCAAAGAGTGCTCGCTAATCCTTCTATAGATCCTGCAATTATATGTCAATCCAAAATATCAATATCCATGACACGGTGACAGCGAACAAAAACAAGTGAACACAAAAGATCACAAAAGACTAGCGGGTTGGAACACAAATGAGAAGGGGTATGAAAGAATCAACTCATCTGCACTCTTATCAATATCTGCATGTCCCAAACTGTCAGCAGAGTGATCAATGTTCACCCAGCCAGGGGATTCCCAGAAAGACAAATGCACATTAAATACAGTTCCTTTCTTAAAAGTCTAAAGTGATGTTTATGAATGGACACTTGATCAAGCCATGAAAGTACATCATATAAAAACTTCCTGACTAATAGGAATGACATTGCTCTGAACAAGGAAAGAATGGTGGCTCCCAATTAAAAGTAAAATAAATATAGAAGACACTTACCCTTCAGTGACCAAGCTGAGAGCAAGATTCACCAAGAATGGTTCGGAAAACCCTAACTTTTCAAGAGTGGATGTCAGGGATGCATATGGATGCTGGACGTTAAGCTCAAAATTCAAAGTTGCCAGTATCAGTTCTTCTGCACCAAGGACTCGTTCTCGATATTTCTCAAACCAATCCTGTTCAGAGTGAATTGAAAGTGACATCAGAGAGAAAAGTCATCATCTTTCCCATCAATACAAATTTAAAATGCTTTATAGTTGTCATTGCAGAGCAGGGACTTACAACAGGAAGTGCATAAGAGAGAAATGTAAAATCCTTATTGTGGAGGATTTCACATGATACTCTCAGAACATTGTAAAGTGGACGAGGTGTCTCTTCTGACTTAGCAGCGAGGAATAGAGAAGCGGTAGCAATCAACTGCATCAATAATGAATCACCAATCAACAGCTATTACTTTGCATCAAATACAATACACTTGATCACACAAATCAAAATTCACATAAATGCACGGTTTGAAGCACATGATACTTATCCAGCATAGTGCGGCTAATTATGCAGTTATGTTCAAAAGCTCCGGTTAATTCGTATCTGACAATCCTATCTTAGACACAACAAAAAGATCCAGATTAATGGAGAACATAATGGACGTCAATCTCAGGAAAGAAATATGACAAAGAAGTCCTTCAATAGAGATAAAGTTTACACAATTCAATTTTTGAAATAAACTAAATTACTCCAAAACAAAATATCTTTTCAGTTAACCATTTGTTAGTTAGTTCCATTTTAGAAGTCTGGATATGATGCCACCTCGGCATTCAAACTTAGCCCGAGGAATAAATAAAGGGAAAAAATAACTTACATATCTGTCGTGACAAGCATGTGATTGTCGAACAAAGAAGCGATGACAGAGAACCATAGCAGTGGCAATGGTGGTATGCGGCCTGTATCACAAAGGAATTCCGTAACATTAGGATGGCAAAAAGCCAATTCGCGTAATATTACACTACTGTTGTGAAACAGTTCTAGAAAGCACAAGATAGGAAAGTTTAAGATTGCACAGAGGAGGAACTTACAGTTCTAGCTGAAGTCCTAGGTTCTGTAAGAAAGCACAGTACGAAAACCGAAGATGAGTTTCGTGCATGGCATCAATACCATCCTTCCGCGATGGAGAATGTCTTTCAATTTCATCTCTTGACAAAAATAAAGCATCACTATCACCATCCTCAAAAAGAGAACGGCCACGCTTGTGAGATGTTGAGCCGTGTGGATTTGCATCAGACGTACTAATAGGAGCAACAGCTGAATGATTTTCATATGTTGACGGTGCATTATTGTAAATGCTGAACTCAGTTGATGAGAAGTTTCCATTTGTGCTTGGGAGCCTATAGGGAAGTTTGACGTAGGCATAAGTGTTTTGATATGACCTTCCAGTAACTTCTCCAGTTGACGTGGCAAGTTTCCTCTTCTTCGAGAAAGAAGGAACACCATCTGGCTTTGAATGATGATTATTATAACTGCGGTTGTACTCTCTACCATATCCAGAATATTCAAGGGGTTCGACAAAATTCTTCACGTGACTATAGTTGCTATTATAGTGGCTTCTGTAATTTGAGTGAAAAGCTGAGCTCGTGGAAGTATCATAGTTCCTATTCCAGTAAGACATGGGGTCACCATAAAAAGGACCGCCTTCTGTGTACCGGTAAGCTTGCGCAAGACTCATCGCTCCTGTTCAATGTTATTACAAGTTAGAACATTCCATGTAAGTTGCAGAGCTAATCAGCACTAACAACAAACAAAGTTCTCTTCGGCAATACTGTTTGTCTGACTGGAGAATAAACATATTCATCCAAACTAATCAAAATTAACTTAAACCCATTAAAAACCAAAAGAAAAAAAAATAGACTTTCGTTTATTTGGAGACATCAAAGATCAAACTTTTCAGTTTAAACTATCTAATCTTGAAACTGCCCAAAATTTCAAGAGTAAAATCACTGCAATCTACTAAGAAATAAGTCCCCATCAGCTTTTATAAAATCAATTCGATTCATCTGAAACCGACCATCAACCTAAACATCAAACAATCGTCAAACCAATCACGAAATGCAAACACCAAAAAAAAAATAAAAAATAAAAATAATTGCATCGTTAAAAGGCGAATGACAACTACCCTCCTAATCAGAGCTGGAACTTGATAATATAGAAATCAAAACAAAACGAAGGCTGTGATTTGAAGCTATAAAAGAGCAAAATAACAGAACAAACTTTCAAATTTCCCAACAATAAACAGAATATCAGATTTTATTTCATACAAATTGATAAGCGAACCTGATCACGAAAAGAGGCCAGATCGAAGGAAGCAGCAAGAAGATTATCCAGCGTTGAAATTAGGGTTTGTGTTTTTTGAATTATTAGGAATCGCCGATTCGGTAGAACACCAAATATACTTTCTCTCGTTACGATAAGAAAAGTAGCAGATGAAATAATTTGCTTGAAATTTATATTTTCTCATAAAAATATCGAAAAAGGACTAAAAACTATCTTTTCTTTTTCCTATTTAGGTCGATGTCCCTCAACGTTCACGAAAAAGTCAATTTAGCCACACCTTATTTATTATCCCCAAAAAAATTAGGAAAATTTGTCTAAAGGGTAGTGAAAGAGGTAAAATTAATAAAAAGGATATGATCATAAAATATTTTTTATAAAGTGCAATAACTTATTTACCAAAAATCATAAAAAGAAAATAGTTATAGTTAGAATTGACGGTATCACTCTTTGATTTCTAAAAGAAAACATGAAAGCCTAATCGTTTTTCAAGGAAATGGCTAGATTAATGAAATTGGGTTCTTCCAACGCCGGAGGCTAGCGATTTTTTTTTCTCTAGTATTTTAAGAAACTCACGGTTGATGGAAGTGATTTAATGATGATTTTTATTTTTTTTTTGTAAAACTTAGATTTGATTATGTATGAATTATGATCATGACGACGGTCGATGATAATGTCTAAATTCAATCATGCCAAAAAATTATGATGATGATTTGGTTTTTGTGCAGTTCTGATTTGACGATAATCATGCCAAAAAAAGCTTTTGTTTTATTGTGTTAAATTCAATCTTCTTTAGCGGGCTTGTTTATGAATTAATGCATCCTTCTTTCTTAGTTTTAACTTATTCTTTTGTTTCAAGGTGTCACGAGATATTGTTGTCACTGGAGGGAAGTGCCTCCTTTTAAGATGGGTTAATAATTGGTTTCTGTTTATAGTTTCACTTGCTTCTAATAATTTACCGGGTGACAAGATATATTTTTATCTGGTTGGAGTGTGGTGTTAGATAGATTTTTATTCCATCCTAGAAAGTTTGTGCTTTTGTGATGAAGACATACATAGTTTTGAAATGATTAGGAATATTTTTTATAGGATGAGACTTTTGTGTTTTGTATTAGAAATCTTTTAGTCATTTGGTAGTTTTATTGATAATGCTAATCTCTTTGTAACATAGATTTCTTTTTGTTGTATTATTCATTATGAATGAAGTTAGTCATTTCTGTTAGAGAAGAGTCTTTTGGGAACAATTTCATTTGCTATGGTTTGTTTTCTGTTTAGGAGATTCATTTCATTTTTATCTGTCTATCAGAGGCCACACTGAAGGTGATAAAAGATAAGAAAGAAACTAAAGTACATGAGTCTAGGCCTGAACCAACCACTGAAGGTCTTTTCGATCAAGAGTAATGGGAGTGGGATGATGATGATGATCGAGAGTGGAAAAATTTTGGCACAAATGAAAGAATCCGGTTAGGACTTGTATCAATCTGGTTCGGATTTATTTCTTTATTGTTTTCTTTTTTTTATTTGTGTACAAAATCAAAAGGTATTAATGTCAATTCAAAATATTTTTTATTTTATGATTTTTGATAAATAAGTTACTGCCCTTTATAAAAAATATTTTATGGTCATACCTATTTTATTAATTTGACTTCTTTCACCACCCTTTAGACAAATTTTCCCAAAAAATTAATAAGATATTATGATTAGTAGGAGTCTTCCATTTGAAACTAACAAGATATCATCAGTTCCCATTATTGTTGCCAAAATTATATTGTACTTCCTCTGTCCCACAAAAATTGTTTAGTTTGATAAAAATCTTGTCCCAGAAAAATAATCCAGTTCACAAAAGTTAAAATTAATTTGGTTAAAATGACTTAAATATCCAATGAGTTTTGGTTATCCCCGTCCGAATTGCCGCCGGCGCCGATTTACCAGACTTTATTTCTCTATTTTTTGAAACGACAATCCCGTGGATTTATCGCCAGCCGGCCGATCTCTCCGTTCAAGTTTCCGACTGGATACCGAGGAAAAGCCGTGTAACAAATCATATCGGAAGAGAAAGGTTTCCAATGATGAATAATCCAGTTTTCGGGTGATTAATCGGGGAGAAGAGCCTATTGAAAACAATCAATCCGTGTTGAATAGATAAGTATCAGTTCCGGATGCTGGACATAGCTGGAGTTATAGCCCGAGGATTGGTGGGTCTCGGTTTCAGAAGTAGCTCATCGATGGCCTGGATATATACCCCTTTCCGATGAGGGATGGTGTTCGGGTCTTGCGTCTATGCCTTCTGTAAAACCCACCAAAATATTGGATGATCAATTGAGTTCATCACTTTGGTGGAGGAATCACGATCAGATCTATTGTCAAGTTGATGCTATGGAGTCAAAAGTGGCTTTGGATTTTGGATCACCTTTTTCGCGAATGAAATTAAGGAATGAGGTTAGAGATTACAGGCAGGGTCAGTGTTGGAAGTTTACGTGATAAAATGAGTTGTACCTTGACTAAATTAAAAAAATTGTACATTTTAAAATTAGATTATTTTTGTGGGACGGAGGAGTATCATCGTTACACATCTAAAGCAAAACTTTAAGAAACTTCGCATACTTTTATATTGTATTAGATATTTCATGATCACTCTAATACAATGATATAACACATCTACATTTGAACAAACAAAACAATTCGATATAATCCATTTTTATTATTGATAGTGCCCTAGAAAATGTAAATTTACAAATCATTATAGGTCACAAATGAAAAGAAAAAGGTTTAATTGAAAAACAAAAATGAAATGGATTATCCCTTTTGATTAATTAAAAATGAAAAATGCATGTTGAATTGGTTTATCAAACAGATAGGAAAATGTTCACAACAAAGGAAAAATTTATTTGCAAACAGGATTGGATTTATTGAGTTAATGAAAGTTATTATAGTCACAAAAGAAAAAAACCATTTATCTTTGTTTAACAAAAGAAAAAAAAAATGTAGATGTCTATGTAAGATCATCAACTAAAAGTTTTGCATTTTTTCTTTTTGAAACTACAAGTTTACATTAATCAAATACCTTATAACGACTACATCAAATTAGCCAATTCTAGAGTTGTTTTTCCCATTTTTCAACTTTGCTTTTTATTAACTTTTAACACACTACTTCTTGGTATTTGTGCAAGAATCCAAATAATATCCTTACCTAAATTAAAAACTTGAGTAGGAAAAGACGACCGGACTCTTATTGCATGTACTAAAATAGTATTGTCAGTTTGTAATTTTTGCAAAAAGGGAAGAAGGATTTTTGTACATTCTCCATGCTAGTTTTGCCAATGGTGTTTGGTTCAATTCTTTTGCACTTCTGAGACCAAGACCGCCTTTGAATTTGGATTTACATACATGATCCTGACACTTCCACTGCATCCCTTTGTTTTCCTAAACACCTTTCCAGATGAACCTTGAGACTATGGCGTCTATCTCTTCTTGGTGATTGTGTTAGGCAATTTGAAAGCCCCCCATCATGTATATTGGAAGAGATGACAGTGACTGTTTAGCAAGACTAGCTCTCCCTATTACTGATAAAGACTTGTTCTTCCAGCTATTGAGTTGATCCTCCATTTTCTGTATTATGAACATTAAAAAGAATAATAGCTAGAATCATGAGATTTTTTTCTTTTTTTTGAACAAAAAGTCAATGTGTAATTTGTTAAAATTTGAGTCAAAGATAATTTTTTGTAAAATCAATAAAATTTAAGGTGTAATTTGCTCTTTTCTAAAAGCACGAGGGAAAAGATAACCGTTTGAAATAAAATTTTGTTAACTTCTCCTTTTGTCCTTAAAAAAGTACTTAAAAACAACAAATTCAAACGCAAGTAGTTTGGGAAGACCAATTGTGATTAGGATACATAATGTAATCACCTCTTATTCTCAGGTTAAAAAAGTAAAATTTTTCCTTTTTTTTATTATGATACCAAAAATATAAATTTTGATGTATAGGAGTACACAAATCACTCGGGAAGAATCAAGATTTGTTTTTTTTTTTTTAATTAATTTGTTTTTTTGATATAGTACGATGTATATAGCTTAAGTATATATATTTAACTTCAAAAACATAAAGAGATCTTTACTTAGAATTAGTGATCGATCTGGTAGTACTAATATTCCAAACTTAGATAACACTCTTTTTTTTTTTTTTTTTTCTGGTCAAAAGCGTGTTTTGGAAGATGAGGTTAACGTAAGATTATTGATATTCCTAATTGCAAGTTTGCAAACCTCAGACCTATGGATTTCCTCCCATTAAGTACTCATGGCCGAGATAGTTTTGATTCTTAATTATCACTTCCGAGGACTTCAAACATTTTCTCTGTCTGTTCTATAAAGAATCATTCACACTACAATTTGTAAATTATACTCTTGTTAATACAATTCACAAACTATAAGGGGGATTAATATTTTTATGAAACTAAAAGAGTAATTTATACACTTTAATTCTAAAATAATTTGTTGTTATACGATAACAATTTAGATTGAAGCAGAAGTTATATATTCAAGCAAATTAATTGTTACGTATTCTCTCGATCCATTTCGAAATAAAAGTGCTACAGTGAACTAGTTATTTTTGTATTCTAATTTCATAAATATACTCTCATTTTTAATACGGAAAAAAGAGAGCGTACAGTGAATTAGTTTAATATGAATGTTGTCTTAATTAGTACAGTATAAATCTAATCACCGATGTTTGGTTTAATGGTCCCTTTCGACTCTTGGATTGCATGTGGAAGCATGCAGAGATTGCCAATATAGCAAACTGCAAACCCAAAGTGCAGTTTCGCTACAATTCTGCCGAAACACCTGACATGTGACAAAATTTTATTTCTGCATACATACGAAGTCAGTTTACTTACAACAAATATGATAAATAATTTTGGGACGGAGACGATACAGAAAATCATACTCTTTCTCGACAATAATTTTGCGACGAAGAGAGTAAATAATTACAATCTAGCTTTGCTTCCATCGAAATCACAAAAAATATTAATTATAAACTTCCATATCTTTGCTAATTAATTTATTTGTTTTCCTTTTTTTATTGATTTATTGTCTAAGGATGACAGTAATTCATCAGTGTCATACAATGTATGGTAGCTAGGAGTAACTGTCAACAGGTCACATTTTCGATGTTCACTGATCGACTAATTAAAATCTTCCTCGGAATTAAAGAATAATAACATAACTCGGCAAATTTAATAAGAAATATATTAATATTGTTAATCAAATAGCTAGCTAGCTACTAAGTGAATGGACAATACTGTAATGAATTGATAACAGTCCATTTTAATTAAAGCTCATTCATGTATTTTACCAATTTCTAAGGATTCATTCGTCAAAAAATTTTTTTTCCATGTATAATATAAATTTTTGTTAAGTTTGTGAGGTCTTCACAGCTAAAATAAAGAGAGAGATACATAGAATGACTTTTTAATTCAATTTGTTATTACCAAATTTCTTTACAATATACTCTATCTGTCTCGTTTCAAAAGTTCACTTAGTTATTTTTATAGCCCAATAAAATGAATTATTGAAATGGATGAACATATATAATATTATAACGAATGTGAGTTGCTTGAATAATGAAAAGGGTGTTGTGTCTCATAATGTTTACTCCAAAAAAAAAAATTGTTTAATTATCCAAAATAGTAACTCTAATTTTGAAATGAAATGAGACAATATCAAAGTGATAATCAGTTTAACTTCTTTTTTTTTTCTTTTTTTGGGTGTAAACATTTAACATCTACTTAATAGTAATACAATGAAGGCGACAGTTATCATGAGACGACATGAATATAAACTTTAGTTGTATTTTTTTTTTCTCTCTTTTTTGGCTGTAAAACATTCGACATCTTAGCTAGTATTGATCATTAAAGCCTAACTCCAAAGCTGAGTTGGGTTGAAAACACAAAGTTCTTGCAACCTAAAACATCAAAAGAAAAAGAAAAAGGAAAATCAGCATCAGCTAGCTGTCTAGCCTGTACAAATTCAGCTAAATCTTTGGTTTTAATTTTTTTTTTTTTTTAAACACACACACACACACACAAAAAAAAACTAAAAGTAGTACTGCTTTTCCCGCGTTGTTGCAGAGGGAAAATCAGAAAAAAAAAACAGCTAATAGATTGATCAGAGATCATGATTGATCCTACTATATATATATAATTACAGTACTTTTGCATCTCTTTAGTTAATCAGCTAATCTAAAATTTACAGTTAATCATCTTACAACAATCCCAAGTACATTACTCATGAAAACATTATTAATTTATTAATCAAAGAAGAAATTAAAAATTTGGAAAATCTGGGGTCGCTGGAAAAATCCTGTTGCTAACTGCTATTAAGTCCAGACGTCCACCACCACGTACCACCACGGCACCACCGTTTGTGTTGGAAGCACGTGACAATGGCTAAAATTACGAATCAAAAAAAAAAAAAAAAGGAATGAAAAAAAAAACACGCACACACACACACACACTAGGAACAAAAATATTATTGGAATTAATTTTGGTGGTACATTTTTATAGATCAGGACATGCACAAAATTTAGCACAGGTGGAGAGGGACGTTTCGAAAGGAAGGGGTGATGAGTTCCCCATGTGATCTTCTGATGATTGTTGAATGCTGACAAGTCTATATATATCTGCGGCCTTTTTTTTTTTATCAGATCTCCATCTTCTTCTTCTTCTATTGAAAATAAAAAAGGTGAATTTATATATATATGTATTCAAAAGATCTTATACATGTATTCTCAAAAATAGAGTTTGATTCTTTTCTAATACTATAAGATATCGATATCGTGTTATATTATATAGAATGTGATTATCGATCTTATAAAAACTTTAACAACATTGAGTAATTTCAAAACAAAATGAACATAAGTAAGAACTAGCTAGTTTGAACTTTGAAGCTTTGGTAAAATGAAAAATTATGGACTAAAATTTTACCTTTACTCTGAATATTTGATAGTACTTCTCATTTTATTTTAATGGTCCGTTTTAAATTACTCAAGAAAGTGACAAAGAGAGAATAGTAACTTGTACATCAATATAAGTTAATGTAGAGCTACGAATTAGTAGTAATCAAGATTGGCAAGTGTAGAAACAATGTGAAGGGCTGTCGGGTGGTTGGAATGAGCAACAAAACACTGAGCCAAAAAAAACAAAACAACAAATTAATCAATCGGTTAAAATTGATAATAAAAAAAACTTCAGAATTACAGATCAAATTCTTTGTTACTTAATTAAGATCAATAGCATCTGAAGCTTAGGATTCTATACTACCGTCCCAAATGATTAGCTCCATATCATGCCACCCAATCACCCTGTATACGGAAAAAAAATTAATATTCTCTCCGTCCCACAAAAATAGTTCACATTGAGTTTTGAATTTTGTACTATTTTCAATACAAATTTGAAAATTACGTGGACTATTTTTTTAGGACGAAGATAATATACAAAAGAGTTTTCATTTTATAAAATACATTTTTTTTAATTATTCAATATAGATCTTGACTTAAAACAACCAACATATAGTCCAACCCCAATTCTTAAACCACCTCCCCCCCACACGCAAAGGTATTAGGCGATGTATCATCTCCTCCATATACCACACATGAATACATGACCATATCACGTATCCAATGTATAAAATGCTGTACAATTCGTATTAAAAAAAAAAAAGGACAAGTCCCGATCCAAATAATAACTCAAAGAAAGTACAAAAACAGTGCATGTCTTGAATAATGCGTGATAATTGAACACAAATATGGGTCACACTCTTAAGAATAATGACAAATAGGATTATAAAAATTTAGTATCTATCATTCATTTTACCCGGTAAATGAATCACAATAAGTAAAACATTATTTCTAGTTCTAATTATAAGTCATAAATTAATACCAAAACTAAATTTAAATTTATGTTTCATAATTAGAACAGACAGAGTATCAAATAACCATTATTTTAATAATTAGCTAGATTTTTGACAAACAGATTACGATCATCAAATGTTCAATACACCATTCATTGCGGTGAGATGTTACGTATTACTGATATAATTAAATTGTTGTTATCCTTATTATTATGTCCGGGTCTGATATATCATATTATCCCATATACACAATGGTGATATAATCCGTTTCTGCTCGCAGTTTTAGTCATAGTACGAGTAAAAATAACACATCAGTGGTCGTATAAAATATGGTATGATCAATCATCAAATTACTATGGTGTATTTTTATTTATTTAATTGATAATTCAATTTGTCTCTCTAACTTCCCATTTCCATGTGCCCATTATAAGAAGGTCCCATTGTACTTCTGTTCCCTCTTCTCTCTCTCAACAAGTCAATATCTCTTTTCTTCTTTCTTCTTCCTATTTGGTTTCATTTTGAAGGCTGAGGATGTAGACAACCAAACAATGGGGAGAAGAACAACACAGAAAGCTCCCAAATCACACACTCTCCCTTCCTCACCCACCCATTCCTTCTCTTCTTCATCTTCTTCCTCCTCCGACTTCGAATTCACCATCTCCATTTCCCCAAGAAAGTCAACCTCAAACCTCTGCCCCGCCGACGAGCTCTTCTACAAAGGTCAACTCTTGCCCCTCCATCTCTCCCCTCGTATCTCCATGGTCCGAACCCTCCTCCTCGCTTCCTCCTCCACCTCCTCCTCCTCCGACACCACCACCACCACCTCCCGCGACTCCACCGGCTCCACCGACTCCACCTCCTCCTTCTCCTCCGACTTGCTCCTCCTCGGAGACTGTGATTCCTCCCGTCCCAGCTCCGTCACGGAGGAGGACGAGTTCAAACGGATACATTCCGGGTTTTCCCAAACGGGTCATTCTTCCATTACCAAGAAAAGCAAGTATTTCTCCCGGCTTTCCCGGTTTTCTTCCGTGTTTCGCAAGGAAACTCCCACTACCACGACCACGACCACGACCAAGAACAATCATAATAATTACAATACAAACCAGCCACCGTACTCGTCTGTCGCCGGCGGCAGCGGCGGTGTGCCGACGTCGTCGTCGGTGAAGCGGATGAGCGCGACGGCCAGGGAAGTGATACGGAAGTACTTGAAGAAAGTGAAGCCGTTGTACGAGAAGCTTTCCCAGAAGCAGCAACTGAGAAACGGAAAAATGTCGAGTTCCACCACTGACGTCACTTTCCGGTCGAAAAAGGATCGGTTCTTTAAAGATTCCGATCAACACAACTACTTCCCGCTTCTTCAGAGTAGTGGGAACAAAGGAGGAGGAGAAAGAGAAAGCAATAACAACGGCGGCGGCGGTTTTTCGCATTCGTTTTCGGGGAACTTAAGGTATCCGAGGAGATCGGGGAGGAGCTACGTGTCGAGTTGTCCGTCGTCGATGAGGTCATCGCCGAGTCATTCCGGCGTGCTCTGTACCAAAAAGAGCGGGTCCGTGACGCCGCCGGGTAAGAGCAGTGGAGGCGGGTTGACGAGTTACGGGTCGGGTTCTTACGATGCTTCGTCAATGGAGGAGTTGCAGAATGCTATCCAAGGCGCAATTGCTCATTGCAAGAACTCAATGCTTCAGAACAACAAGGGTATTATGGTCAGTGATGAAATTTGATCAGCTACTAAGGACTTAAAAAATCACTTTAATTAGATAATTAATGTTTTTTTTTTCTCTCTTCTTAATGTAATGTGAAGAAGTAATAATTTTAAAAAGAAAAAGGGAATTTTGTAATGTTTTTTTTTTTTCCTTAGCGCTTATTATGGATCTAGAGATATAAGTATGTAGTACTACTACTAGCATTGACTGGAGAAACTGGAAAGTGTTTAACCTTAATTTTGTTTTTGTTTTTTTAAACTTGTGTTATAATGTAGTAGTAATGAGTTTGCATGTGAGATGTGAACGTTAATCCGTGAAGCGTATTAATTATGGATCAATCATTTGGATCCATCTGTTTGTTTGTATGCATGAAACTCTTGTTGGAATTTGTGCTACTGTTTTGAGCGTGTGTGAGTGAGTGTGTTTTCCTAGGAATTCTGAAAAATTTTTGTGTGACACTTGAAATTTGGCCGGTTTTTTTTGTTGTTTGATGCCATTCTTGATATGGGTAAACACGATCCTGTGTCAATTTGTTCATTCATGGCATAATGTTGGCTAAAAATGTATCCCAACAAATGTGATAGAAAATATGCAATATCCGCTAGAGTTTTAGCTGAAATATTATTGAATCAACTAACAAAATGCAAAATACATGTAAGTTATAACATTTTTGACAGATTAAAATTCGATGCATTTTAGAGGAGGTACACATTATTTATAAATCAAATGATATCTTTCACTGATAATACACGATTAATATTATCTACATACGTAGAGATATGAAACGGATCTTTAGATCCTATATACGTAATGTGGTATCTAAAATCTATCATTTCCCATCCTTCTTTTATGGCGCAAAAAGTATGAGCAAAAACTGAACTTACAATCATTGTAAGAATCTAAGCTAATTTTTGTTCGTATGGAAATTGTAAAGTTTTGTGTTAAATCTGGTTGTAAATTTTTTTTTTTAATTTTCTTTTTTCAATGCTGACAGCCTAACGGTTACTTCAATAGTACTACAAGATAAATAAATTAGTAGTAGTATAATGTCGTTGTCTCCTATGGGGTTTTGACCTTATGTAATTGAAGTATTCCACAGTTCGATGTGGTTCGAAAGTGATGCGAATCTTCCATGTGCCGCTGGCTTTGTGTTGATAGTTAAATTCGATTTACAGCTTTTTTTTCTTCTCTGGTAGGAGGATAAGAAGGGTGACATTTATTGTGTGGTCTGTGGAGTCATTCTCAAGTTAAGTTTCTTCTCAGGACTGCCATAGTATATATAGTATCTATGACCAGAGACCAAAGGGTTTGATTTGAATTTGAAAATTTCCCCATCATGTAAACTTTTCAAAATTATTGCTTCATCTGTCTCAAAAATAGTACTCCATCCGTCTCATAATTATTGTCCAGTTTGAGTTTTTATTTCTAGTTCAAATTGTACTAAAAATGAAATCTGAAACTGGACAATAATTTTCGAATAGAAAAAATAATAAAAGTGAAAATCTAAACTGAATAATAATTTTGGGACGGAGGAAATACCTTATTTGTTGTTGTAGTATCATAAAGAGTTAACTTTACGTCATTTTGCAGCATGCATGCACGAATGGAAATTAGTCTTATAAGGGCAGTTCCCGTTTTTGAGAGGAGCTGGGGAGAGAAGAGTGTGTTTAATTGAAACCGCGAGTCTTAATTGGTGTATCCAAAAGTCGGAAAAAGTTGTTCATAAGATGTAATGGCTATGATAAAAAATCACAATAAATAGGTCGGCAAAATGTGTAATTTTGTCACACACCAGAAACTATATATATTTTTTGTTCTATAATGGAAAGAGAGTTTTTGAACTTTCATTATCAAATTAAGTCACTCTTGGTGGACACGATCAAAGTGTTTTCCACAAATGAAGAAAGGAATAGAAAAAGATACGTATCAAAGACCTTTTTGTTTGTTTGTTTTCTTTTCTTTTTTTTTTTTTTTTGTTTTTGAAACAAAGACCTTTTTGATTGATTGACCAATTAAGTCAAGTCTTCACAATATACTTTAATTTGCTAATAAATTAAGGGTTAAAGGCATAAGAGTGGGAAAAAAGAAGAAAAATTTCCAAGCCAGGCCAGCCAGCACACGCAATACACCTAAAAATCCAACTTCTAATTTATTAATATCTAGTTATAAGGGTAATTGTCTTGAAAAGTCTTGAATAAAATCCTTTTCAACATTTATCATCAATCAATTAACATTAAAAGTTGAATGCTTTAGTCGCCGGCATTATCAACGTATTCATAAGCACATGCATAATTATAGATTTGAAGTTAACTTAAGAGAAATTTACTTTCTTCAAAACACATACTCCCTCCTATCCTTATTATAAGATATTTTGATTTCGTCCTAAATTTAATCTAGAATGTACTTTTAATTGGAAAAAAACCTTAAAAATATATTTTTACATTCGTTATGTTCTCCTAATTATTATGAAATGTTTTTAAGGTTTTTCTTTCAATTAAAAAAACATCCTAGATGAAACCTAAGACGACATCAAAATACCGGAGAGAGTATCATATTCTACTTAATCTGAATATGATTTGTGATGGTTTTATTTAAATTACCATATTGTGAACACGCATATGTTACGTATCATTTAGTATTTCTTTCTTTGTTTTTTTTTTTTCTAATGTAACGGTGCTGTTTATTAGTGTGCCATAAAATTCCTTTTTTTTTTCTTTGGTACAGTAGAAGAGACAAAGGCCTAGACAAATCAAATTCTGATACCTCTTATAGTGTACGTACAATCAAAAAATAAATTTATCGCCATATATGGAGTATCAATATGATATACTCTTCTATCCCTATAATTATTGTTCAGATTGAATTTTTGAGTCTGTATCCAGTGCACGGTATACCGTATACCTCCATCAAACACACGCACTACACGCGCTCAACATTTTTCACCTTTACATTAAATGCACAAACAAAATTGTTTTCATCCATTTTACTGTTTTCATCCTCACGCACAAACACACACAATTGCTGGTTATTCATAATTTATCCACAAGTTGTAAACTGGTTATCCAGAAGGAGTAAACTAGTTATCCAGAAGGTGTAAACTGGTTATCCACAAGTTATAAACTGGTTATCCACAAGGCGTAAACTGGTTATCCAGAAGGTGTAAACTGGTTATCCAGAGGTAAAGAAGCAAACGACATGTTACTTGGGGGGCTTCGCCCCCCATGATAAACTAAACGACTTCCGCGGCTACCGGAATCGCAGGTCACCAACCTGCTCCGGCTGCGCCGCCCCACCGAACACGCCAATTTAGCTAAGATAATCCTTTTTTCATGTGTGTGTAAAGAGAGTGTGTTATTGTGTTAAGAGGGGACACAAATTACTTGTATAAATCTCCCCGTGATAAACTAAACGACCCGACTGCGCCGGTGCCCGTGGCTGCGCCGCCCCCCCTGCCGAACACTTTCATAAATAGTATTTAATTGAATGAGGGGCATTTTGCCAAATGATGGAGAACAAAAAATGAATTAGGGGCAGTTTGCCAAATGATGGAAATAAGGTACGCTCAATTGTGTATAATTAATTATCCCTATTGTCAATACTGGTTATCCAACTGTGTATAACTAATTATCCATATTGCCAACACTGGTTATCCACATTGTGAACACTGGTTGTCCATAGTGTGTAGCTGGTTATCCATAGTGTGCACACTGGTTATCCAGCTATGTTTAATTAGTTATCCATAGTGTGAACACTGGTTATCCAGCTATATTTAACTAGTTATCCATAGTGTGCACACTGGTTATCCACAGAAGGTTTAAAAAAAAAAGCTGAATTATCTAGCGAGCTCACACTATTCTAAGAGAGTAAAGTACACGCGCATGGGGGTACACGGTGCCCCTGGGTGTACCAGATAATTTGCCGAATTTTCGTTTCTAGTTCAATTTGTACGAAAAGTGAAATCTCAAACTCAATAATAATTTTGGGATAGATGAAGTATGTCCGTTTCATATGTCTCTTAGTTCAGTTCTCATGTCACATAAAATTCTAACAACCACTTCAGATATGAACTCCACCGGAACAAAATTATATTTGCCAAAAAAGATTTAAGATCAAAATGAAACCACGGTATTAAACTCAAACCAAACTCGGGAACATCTGATAAATCTAATTAAATAAAAAGTCAATTTGGAAACGAACTGATCTTATAAACTAGGTTTATTGAAGTACTTAACCAACTACTGTGAACAGATTATGATGTCTTAGAGCCTGTCCTTGATTGACGCATACATACACACACATATAGATAACTTGTTTGCTATCAAAATCCTTTTCATAAAAGTTTTGTCTTTAGCTGTATCAATTAGCATGATTCATTCATTGAATCGAATGAACGGTGAATTTCAATCTCATTAAATTTCTTTCAATTCCTTATCAATCACAATAAATCCAAACTTACAATATATTTTTTACACCATGAAAGGAGGCAAAAAAATCAAATTAATTAGATGATAATCGAGAATGGATGATCGGCATAAATTATGTAATATTCGAACAAGGGTTCAATATATTTCAACGGAATTATACTTCAAGCACATGTAACTCTGTAAGTCCTTCAAGTCTCGAAATAATTAAGGATGCCAAAAAATCTGCTACAAACTTCGAAACGAACCCATTTGATCGTACGTACGGGGGGCCTGGGGTCCGGAGAGATCGATGAAAACCGCGAAACATAATCACATGCATGCATGCTATCTTTTTACACCAAAAAACTAATCAATCAAAAACCACCCTCATCTATTGATGATGATGAATATGATGATCGAATGTGTGTGGTCCTAACCCCAAACTCACAAAACCCTACTTCATTAACTGATCAACTCTCTCAACCACATGCCAACTTTGCATGTAAAGCGCCATTGATCACTCAAAACTCTGCTGCAATCATTTACTCCATTCCTCCTCCTTTATGCTTCTATACTGCGCTTCTGCTTCATGCTAGCAATGCATGTTCAGTACATCTAATATCACAATTTTTCTCTCATACTCTTTCTGTCTCAAAAAAAATAGTTTATTTTATTGTACTTTTAAGACGTAACTCATCTAAAGTTCAAGTCCCTTTAAAAAAAAACGCGTTGAACGCTATGAGCATCCAAAGAAAAAATTATATTTTTACTGGATCCAGTCATCCAGATACTCGGTTTGGTATATGAGTCTGTTATATGAACTCTTTTTATTTTCTGATAGCCACTACCGCTGCTGTTTCAAAAAAATAATTTAGTATAAATCTCAAAATTTTATATGGATTATTCTTTTTTAATAATAATGTTAATACATAAACATATAAGTGATGAGTTTACCGACAGAAACTAGCAAAAACTTTATATCATAAATGTATTAGTTAATATATGATAAATCTATTTTTTATTCGTATTAAATTCTTCAGGGCCCTCTTATTATTTTTTTTTCCTTGTCTAAAACAGAAGGAGAAGAATGAGAAATGAGAACGACTAGGTCAGCCAATAATAATATGATTTAATATCAACATGTCGTTTATGTCTTTTCCTCGACATTTCTATCCGTACAGATTTTTTTTGTTAAACTTTTTTTTATTTTTTTTTTATTTTTATGGCTTTCTTATCCAATTTTGCACCGCAGGAAGAAATAATGTCTTTAATCATGCATGCACGATACTGATTGCAATTGGTTCATACTTCCTTCATACAAGCGGCCATAGCTACACATTTTATTAATTAATAAAATACAATTTTCTCCATACAAGCGGCCACCGTGACAAAACATAAAAAGGGACTACGCACCTACTAATCATTAAATTAAAACATTTAGCCGTTTTGTGATGTATAGGACCACTCTAACCATACACATTACATGTCTTGCATGGATTTCATTAGCAATTAATTAAATACCATTAACTTACCCCACTCCGTCTAAAGAAAAAAAGAGTCTTGTTAATTTGTTAAAATCAAGAAGATTTTTTTTTCTTCAATTTTTAAGGATTGGAAGAGTATTTCATTACTACCTCCGTCCCACAAAAAAAATAGTCCACATTGAGTTTTCAAATTTGTACTATAAACAGTACAAAACTCAAAACTTAATGTGTACTATTTTTTTGGGACGGAGGAAATGTTATTCTTGATTGAGCAAGTTGAGAAACAAATGCGTTGCAAGATTAAAAATATAGAGCTAATTCTATAGCTTCATTTTCAAAATTTAGTTTTTGAAGATTAAGACTATAATACGGTATATATATAATTTTGATTACAATAATAACA